AAAAGTAGGTACGTTGCAGGTAGTAGGACGCGAACTGGAATGGTGGTTAGTCGAGTTTGAGCCTTCTACGCATTCTGACCATACCTTTCCAAAATGCACCTCGTCGAAGACGACCTCATTGGGATGGTTGATGCCAAAGAATCGGGTCGCAAAGGCCAGGATGATGATTATCCCCAATGCTAGCCTGTAGTCCCAGTCATTTGACACACTTTTGTTTAATTCGTCCAAGGCTCTTTTCAAGGCCTCGTCGTCTTCTTTGTCCCCATCCACCACAGGCTTGTTTTCTTTCTTGGGACCCCGCTGGCGCAGGGTCGAGTTGGGTGTCGACATCTTCAACGTCTCGCAGAAACAAAGGGTTCGGCCGCGGCGAGGGTGAAGGCGGCCAGAAATGGTGGGATTAACGAAAGAAAGAAAAGAGGCTGAGGGAGAAACGAAGGCACAGTGAAGGAAAGGTCAGATGAACTTCAGGCCCCCTCAAAGTGAATTGCCTCAAAAGTGAATTGAGGCTGGAGTGGAATCGTGTCCATAACTTTTTGGCCGAAACGCGTCAGACTTGCCATTCACGCCATTGAAAGGGAGGTGGCCCGTGCGTCAGAGCCTCGTGGAGCCTCGTGGAAAGGGGTTGCCACGTGACACCGTCGCTACCCCAAATCAGATTCCAGCCATATGCAAGTTCATTTTTCTCGGCTGAGTCCCCTATCTAAATATGATGCGCGAGCAAACTACACACAGCTCAGTCATCCAGATCCAAAAGACTCAGCGTCTCCAGCTCCCGACGGGCTATATGCTCAAACTCATCCCTGGTGATGCCAGCACTGCGGGCTAATCGGTACATGCTCTTCATAGTCGTGCTGATGTGTTGCTTGATGCCAATCTCCGACGCCCCAAAACGTTCTGCATGTTCTTCCAGGCGAGCCACCGCATCTGAACCTCTCGAGGATGGCGAGGATGGCACCGGATGTGTCACCTCGACCAGTTTCTCGTCCCCCTGGTCGGCGTCAGCCGCGAGAGACCCCTGGTACGGAGGCGGATCTAGTTCTTTGGGAGGTTGAGAGTGCTGTGAAAGCATTTGCTGTAGAGCATTCCCGTTCAGCCGCGGCTCTGAGCTGTCTTCCATTTGTTCGTCTGGGTCGTGATTATCCATCGCCGGCTGTACAGTGCCATACCGTGCATAGTAATCGTCCTCGGAAGGACCACCTGGCTGAGGCTGGACCGACTCCTTTCGAGCAGGGGTTCTGCCGGGCGTGTGATCGTACATGGCCCAGTAATCATCTTCATCGGCTGGGGGCACCGATAGATTTCTCTGATTTTTCCCAAGGGCTGCTTCGTCTGCTTCGCGCAGAGCTTCATTCACCAATCGCTCGTTGGAGCTCTCGTTTGCTTCTGCAACGGAGTTCGACCACGAGGAGTCCTGCCGGAGATCTTCATCAAACGGCAGGAGTTCTGCTAGCTTCCACCCGTTTCCCTCCTCTCCACCGCTGCACCATAGATATATTGCCGTAAATGGCCAGTCAATCAATGCTATTTGGGCTCTTAAAGTCTCTTCGTCAAATCTTTTGTACTTGAGCTGATGTGTATCGCCCACCTCAATCTCGCCTGAGGATGGATGTGGCTCAAACACGGCCTCTTCGATCTTATCCCTCAGTCGTTCCCCCTTGGTCGCATCCCAGCATAAAAGAGAGGCCCAACTCTCCCGAGAAGCGCCAGATGTGTGTATTTGCAGGCGTTGTCTGAGGATTGGCGACAGCAGGGGTAGCAGTGCCGGTGGAGGTCTGGGCGAAGCGAACGAGGCAGGCAGACACGCGAGGAGTGGAGGAAGCAAAGAGACTGGATCAGGTGCTGGAACGAGCTCGACCATGGTTGCTTGCAGAGTTCAGCTTGTAGTGGGTGTGGGCGTGTGTATGGATGTGAGGATGGTGGAGGAGAAGTGTGTTGCTGTGGCAGTCAGTGTTGGATCAAGGAAAGAAAACAGAGCATGTGAGAGGAAGTTGAAACTGCGCGGGCATGATCTACGTGCGGAAAGCATCGATCGCGCGGTCGGCTGGATCTCCAACAGTCACGGTAAGCACACAGGGCTATCACACGGACAGAGTTGTTCTGTTTGGTTCTCGAACGAAAACTGAGGCTGAGCTCACGGCTGGATGAAAGGTTGCACTTCTCTTTCCATTCGCCCGGCCGAGATCGCGTGGACTTCGGATCGGCCGACGTCACACGGCGATATTTAATTGGCCGGACGTGACCAGGCTGAAACCCACTCGCGGTAAGGCTGTGCGGTCATCTCCACAACGTGTCTGACATGTGAACGCGAGTGGCTGTGGTACTGGTCAACGTCGCCCGCAGAGCAGAGCCTTGATCTTGGTCCAGGTTTACTACCACGGCACCACGGCAACCTTCCACCATAATGTGTATCGGACGTGATCTAGCTGTCAAAATACACTCATCCGACTGACTGCTCGGCGATGGCTGCGGTTGTTACTCCTACTGTGGTACTGCCGGCGTCTCGAATCGGCCAGGCGCATTCCCCGCATCATCTCCGAATTGACATGGACTCCATCTCGATTCTTGGCTGGGTCGCCACAGTGTATACTCGTAAACCTAAAACACTTGCTAATCCGGGTCACGGGAGAGCTATCACCCTCGCACGTGCCTCGGTGGCTGAACAGCGTACCACCTTCGCCTTACCAGTCTGTTCCAGCTGATGGCGTCCCCACGACCGAAGAATGGCATCTACCATGATCAACCTCAGACGCCCGATGCGGCTTCCAGCACCGAGCATTCATATGGCGATTCGGATACAGAGCTACCCGTCGAGATCACCCAAGAGACAGTCCAGTATGGTCTCGGTCGAGCACAAGCAGAAGCACGCCTGCGCCTCAAGGTGGACCTCCGTCTATGCAGTATAGCGGGAATACTATGCTCGCTGAATCTGCTAGACAGTGGGATCATCTCTTCAGCAGCAGTCACGAGCATGCTGTCGGATCTCAACCTCACAGGAGATCGGTATTCGGTATCGATATTCATCTTCACTGTGGCTTCGGTGTGCTGCCAGCTTCCGGCGACCATTCTGCTTCGGTTCGTTGGGCCGCGGCTGTTCTTCTCAGCAACGACTTGTGCGTTCGGGATTATTACCATGTGCACAGCAGCGATTACGAGCTGGCAACAGATGATAGCATTGAGAGTTCTTCTGGGCATTTCCATGTCCGGGATCTACCCCGGGCTCACCTATCTCATCTCAACATGGTACACGCGGCACGAACAACAACTGCGGTTCGCACTGCTGCAGTCTGGGGAGATCATCGTCCTCGCCACCGGGTCGATTGTCAACTTCGGGCTCAACCACCTCGATCACCGCCACGGCCTCCGCGGCTGGCAGTGGATGTACCTTGTCCAAGGCGCCGTGACCGTCTTCCTCAGCCTTATCACCTACCTTTGGATGATCGACTTCCCTGACCGCGCCGAACACTCCTTCCACTTCCTCACCTCGGACGAAAAGGCTCTCGCCTTGTCCCGCATCAATGACGACCGCCAGGACGGCGCGAAACCCGAACCATTCCGCCTGTCCGCAATATTGGTCCACTTCCTCGACCCGAAACTCTACGCCTTCTGCATCCTCTTCTTCCTGCTGAACCTGGTGTCCACCGCCCTGTCGTACTTTCTCCCCATCATCCTCCAATCCGGCATGGGTTTCTCCTCGAACAAAGCGATCCTGCTCTCATCCCCTCCATACTACTACTCCGTCATCCCCGTCCTGTTGTCGTCGTATATCGGCGATAGATACCGCATCCGCGCCCCAATCATCGTCTTCAACGCCATTTGCCTCATCGCCGGATTCTGCATGCTCGGTTTCCCCACTCAAGTCACGGTGCGATACATCGGCACCTTCCTTGCCACGGGGGCATACATCTCGAATTGGGCGGCCCTCAACGCCTACCAGGCAAATAACATCGTTGGACAATGGAAGCGCGCGACCGTCGCGGCCGCAATTTCCGCGTGCAATGGTCTCGGTGGCATTGCGGGAAGCTATATTGTCCGGCAGAAGGAGGCACCGCGGTATCTGACAGCTATCTGGGTCAGCATCGGGAGTCATTTGTTGATGATCGCGGTGGTGTGTGCGTGTACGGTGTGGTTTTGGTGCGCAAACCGGAGAGCGAGGACCAAGGGGCGGTTGATTGAGGGTGTCGTAGGCTTTCAGTATACCTACTAGACGGTGGATGGATGGAATGATTAGACAGTAGAAAAACAGATACGTATAGTCAATTCAGTCAGCCCGTCATTGTAGCAACATTGTGATGGTGGCGAGGATTGAGCGAGTGAACCGCAAAGCAATATCTCGTCAATTCGCGCAAAGCTGGCATCCTCCATCACTCCTCAGATTGCTCCAGTCCTCCTTACCTGGTCAGGCTCCACTTCGATGGAAAATTTGGGAAACGGCCGGATGAAGGAACCTTGCGAGTAAGACGATGTGGGGGCCCGTCACCCCGTGTCGTGAGGTTGGCGTCTATCACAGACGACCGCTTCATGTCCGTTACAGTTCGAAGCGCGAATATCTATGCACAACGAGGTACCGGAAAAGACGCTCAAGCGATATATCACTACGACAGCGGGTTCGGGGTTGTTTGCCAGCAGGTTCATCGCGCAAGCCACGTTATCTACACGCTGAGAAGTGAGATAGTGCACATACCGGACACATCCTCCGTACTGTTGAATGTACCTAGGTATCTACTGGTGCTACGGAGTACTTGGTGGTTGATTACCTAATGCAGCCTCGTATTTAACACACATCAACTAAACCCAATTAGGCCACAAAATCAATACCGCGATTCATGGCCGCAAGGTACGCATCAGTAACGCGTGAGGGAACGGAACACACCACAGAACAGAGTACACTGACGCGATCGGAGAGACTATCAATCCCTCTCGGTATCATCTTCCCGCCGCTCCCCTCTAGCTGGACCTCACCTTCAACAAACTCCATCCATCCACCCACCCACCCACCCACAATGGGTGCCTCAAAGCCTGCAGCCCGAACCACGAAGCAAGGCCACACACACTCCCACTCACACTCTGACGCGTCCGCACACAGTCACACCCGTCCCACCCTCGAACCACGCATCAAGCACATCCCCCAAGCGACGATCCGCAAGAAATGGAAGCCCCTCCCCCAGTCATCTCAGGACAAAATCCACTCGATCCTCTCGAATCTGAAAACCAAGCGCTCCGGCGGAGGAGGACCCAACGCGCGGATCCCGCGAGTCGGCAAACCGAGCGCAAGAGATTCAAGTAGACCCGGCGCACCGCCGCGTGCAGGTGCGACGGCATCCAAGACCGCGATAGCAGAGGCCGAATACGCCAAGATCGTCGAGGATGTGGCTTCGAGGTGAGTCGCTGGCTTTTCCCACGTAGTACTTACTTACTTTATGACGTGGAGTCCATATCGCTGGACGCAACTGAATTGACCGACCAACGCTAATGTATACGTACTAATGTACGCGTGTGACGATAGACTTCTCTCGCGCTTACCTCGCATGCCCTTCCCGCCCACTTTATCCCGCAGCAATAGCAACGGCAACGCCGCAGACGACTTCGACCTTTCAAGCACCCTCGCGCGGATCTCCACCCTGCAAGCGCAATTGACGTGCAACATGCAGACATCGCGGCTTTTGGGCAGGCAGATCAGTCGGGAAAAGGCAGCGCTCAAGCTGGATAAGAAGGAGTTGAAGACGCTAGAGGACGGACTTCGCGGGAGTAGGGAGTTGACGAGGCGGAAGGAACGGGGGCTGCATCCGTTGGCGAGGGAGGGCGGGGACGGGGACGGCCAAACCGAACGAGAGAACACTGTGATCATGGGGATCAAGGCTGCCGGTGCTGCAGAGGATAGAAGGTCATTAGCTTGGGCTCTGACGGCAGCGACGGCAGCGGCGACGGCAGCAGCAGAGTCGATGGACTCGACAGAGTCAGCGCTCGGCCTAGAGGACACAGCAGATCCTGTCGACCCGGGTATGAGTGTCCTGCTAGGACAGTTGCGGAGTCATTTGCTGAGTATGCGGAATAACACGGCGTCTCTACTGCCGGTGGTGGATGCGGTCGACGAGGCGCAAGTCGCGTTGGAGAAATTTGCCGCAAGGAACCTGGACGAGGCGGCCATACGTCAATTATATGGCGCTGCTGTTGTTTGAGAGGTCGTCTAGCCCTACAGAATCGCTGCTGAATAGGATAAAGTAATGAGCGAGTGTATCATGATTGCATGAGTACATGAGTACATGACTAGGTACAGAACAAGGCAGGACCGTACAGAAGATGCTCCAGGTCTCTCCACTTCGTGTATTGCAAAGAATGCGTCTTGGGGTACATACATTATGTTGTTTCATCTGGTACCATCTTGTTGTCCGGACCAGTATAACAAGTGGAATGAATGACCAGCCTTGCCTAGATGCAACCACGCACAGCCAGAAGCACGAGCACATCGACATTGATATTGGCATCGACGTGGATATTGACCTTGATATCGACATTGATATCGACATGGACATGGACATGGACGCATCAAATCATGACCCTGAACACTCACCACCGAGTCGAGTAGATGGTAAGGTATACGGAGTAGAAAGACCAGAGAATCCTCCATCCCCAGACAACATCCGACATCCAATATCCAACGTCAAGCCTTGCGGTCTAGCAGAAGCACAAATCCATCTGGACGGATACCTAGGTATCATACCTGGTACTGTGTACATGTATCTGGGCAACAACATCGCGCGACACGCACGTACAGGCACAGACACAGACACAGCCATAATTAGGCATAGACATAGACATGGGCATAGGCATTAGTGAGACCCTTGCCGGCTATAAAGAGCGTATACCCAACCCGGCGCTCAACACCGTGGCATCCAAAACGTTCGACTTGTGGTGATGGCCCGGCGCGAACCGGCGCATGGCGAACCAGAAGAATATCACCATGATCATCTACAGGGCCGTCAAGTTAGTCAAGGTGTGGTCTGTATGAGAAGCAGGGGTAAGAATGAACAGGGCAGAGATTAGAGGCCAGAGATCAGTGACTACATTTCAAAGATCTCGGACCACATCTCAGACCAGATCGTAGATTTAGATTGGAGACCAGATCAGAGACCTTAAATCTCGATATCAAATCTCAGTCGGAGAATGTACATACCAACGGCACGGCGGCCACGAAATACCACTTCAAACTCGGATAATGTTCAAAGGCGTCGACGTTCATGCCAAACGCCCCGACCAGGAACGTCAAGGGCAGGAAGATGAATGTGATCCAGCTGAGCCGCCACAGGCTGGCGTTCAGTTCGAGGGACTGTCTCGAGTCGCGGATCGTCACGGATTTGTAGAGATGGAGGCGAAGAGTTAGTGAGACTTCGAGAAAAGATAGATTGACGAATGCTAGGATCAATGCTGGGACAAACGCGAGGACAAATGCTGGGATAAAAGCTAGGACAAATGCTAGGCATCATCACACATACTAGGTCAATCATATGCTCCAACGGCTGGAGATAGTCCGTGACGATATTCTCGGCGAGCATCTCGAAATCGTCCAGCAGAGGCGTAAGCCACTTGTTGCTACTCGTCCCGGTCGAGGTGCCGGTGCCGGTGCCGGTGCCAATACCGGTTCCGATGGCGTCCTCGTAGTTTCTCTCGTACCCATGCTCTCCTTCGGAGAAGATGGCGAAGTCATCCTGCACGGCCTCGACGACCTTGGAGTGCCGGTTCACCAGTTTCAACATGTTGTGCAGTCGCTGGGACATGGCCCACACGTCGGGCGCGCAAGACGAATCCGACGGGTGTGCGTAGATGTGGTCTTCTAGGAGGGCGTGGGGCTCGTGGATCAGCGCGATCTGATCGCGCCACAGCTGGTACAGGCCGTCGAAGACATGGGACAGGACGGCCTGGAGTGTTGGGATCGAGGTGGCATTCCGAGACGGTGCGCGTTCGCGCTCGGGGTACAGGCCCAGCAGGACGTTTCCGCTAACGATCTCCCCGGCCTCTCCGGACGAGTACTCACAGATGATGACGGTGTCGCTCCTCGCCATGTCGGGCAGGTGGCGAGATCCAGAGTTGAAGCGAGTCACGCGCGGTCCTGGCAGGGCTCCGGAGAAGGCTCGCTGCATGTAGACGGCGATGCGTTGGCGGTAGAGCGAGGCATTGCCGACGCGGTTCTGGTTCTGGGCCTGGCTGTGATTGTGGTGGTGGTTATGGTTCTGCGTCTGCGCGGGCGAGGGCCCAACGACGAGGGACCCGAAATCCAGCCCAAAGGCAGTGCAGATGACGCCTCTGGCCATGTCGAAGGCTGGCCGCCACCGGATAGCTTTGTGCGAGGCCCTCCGCAGGTCGCGGTCGTCCTGCATCCAGTCGCGGAAGCTGCGTTCCTCGGTTTCGGCGCTGGAGCCCGAGATGCCAAACGCGCCGCTCAGGTAGTTGATCGCTTCCTCGTTGTTGCAGACGTAGACCAGTCGGAGGAGAGAGTCCTGCTTGCTGTCCTCTTCCAGGTACTTTCGTAGCTTGGCGACGGTTTCGCATCGCTTCGGCGGTCCGCAGAGCAGCACCCCTTGGTCGTCTGCGGTTCGTGTGATCAGCATGGTCCATATGAGTTCCTGGGGTCTACCATCGTCCTCACCAAGATCGTATTCCAGCACGTACATGGCCTTTCGCTTGTACACGAGGGCCGCATTCTGCGAAAGAATCGCAGTGGCATACGTGGTCGCAAACCCGGCAGCATATTCCAGCCCTGTAAAAGCGCCGGGTCTGATGGTAGAATTGATGCCCACCCATCTTCTGAGGCGATCGAGCGGGCGATTTGCGCGGACTCGCGCGTTCGAGGCCGAGCGCGTAATGCGTAGATGAGCCTCTTCCGCATCGATGTCGGTGTAGGCGCGTCGTATGACGGCTCCGCGCTGTTCGATGTCGAGTTGCTGCGCTTCGTTGGGTTCGGCAAACGGATTCTTGAAGCCTAGAGATTCCAGCTCCGTCGCATCTTCCGCGCCGCTGGAGAACCCCCTAACGCGCTTCCCCGGGTGTACTTCCAGCGGACACGGGAACGTGTCAGCCTGAGTGAATGTGGTCGACTGTGGCAGGGAGAACACATCCTTGAGGAAAGACTTGGACACCTCGTCGTCCTTGGCGAGCGGCGGTCGCAGGGACCGGCCTTCCTCAATGGCGATGGAGAGTCGAGCCTGTCTTTGGTGTCGGTCTGTCGAGTATTTTCTTTGTTTCGGTGATCGCACCGATAGCAGCGAGTCCCTTCGCGACGCCATGAGGGATCTCAGCCCGTGCGCATGGATGTTCACACAGACATTGTCGCGCCACCGGGGGCCCTGACCTCTTCATCATGAGGCTGGCTGGAAACGGGCCAGAACACGAGTCGACGCCGATCCCTGTCACCAGCTGTCGCCGAGGCCGCCACACAGCTGCTGATTCGATACAGAACGCCACGTTCATGCAGGCGGCAGGAGAGGATGTGCAGGGTCGATCTCTGTAAGAATGAGAACGGCCGAGGGTGAAGGGAAGAGGGACTCATGCAGGATTGAAGTTGAGTAGCAGAAGCGTTGCGATAGCAAGCATCGCTGGCGTCGATCCGAACGGAGCGGAAGGATCCGTACGCGGTCCTGAGCGCAGCACAAACAAGGCGTAAGTAGGAGTCTTATCTTAGACGGTAGATAATTTCCCACCGAACAATGGTTCCAGGGCTACATGGGGTCCAGAGAGCGCCGTTATGCGACAAGATTCCCGCAGACAACCATGGCCAACCGTACAGCGACCAGATTCCCCAGTGTATCAATCTCTCCCGAAGCCTCTGCCGGCTCGCCAGGTAAGTGGAGTGAGCTCGGGGAATTCTCACTCTTCTTCAAACATGAGAACATCACGCCTCAGAGAGAACTGTCCGTGATGTGAATAACTCACCCCCTCCCGTACGCCTTCCTCGGAAAGTCATCCCAGATATGCTTCATCTCCCTAACATCCAAACCCTCATCATTGACCAATTCGCCCGTAAACTCCACATCCTCACCATACATCAACCCGTTGAAGTGACCTCTTATCCATCCTTCGCCATCAAACTCGATCACGCCATCACATCCGCGTCCGAATTTCATGAAGCCGTCGTCTTGATCTTCCGATCTCCAGCCGAAGGAGACGGCCTGGTCACAGGAAATGTCCGACATGTCGCTCACGCAGAGGACTCCTTCCTTGGACCCGATGTGGAACTGGCCCCAGAGCTGGTGGGAGCGGTCGTCCACCTGGAGCGTGAGACTGAACGGCTGGAATGAGTTTCCTGGGAAGAAGTAGGTTCCTGAAATCGGGAAATCCTCCAACGTCGGCGATTCTCGCTGCTGGTTGAAGTCGATGGACTCGTAAGCGGGAGGTGCATCGTCCATGTCGACATCGTGCTGGAAAGAGAGCGGCGTGCGATTGTATGTCTGTGAGGGAGATGGTGCTCCGCGGTCGCGGTTATTGTGATGGAAAGGGTCGTCTTTACCTCGTCGCGCGGTCTGCTTGGCTCGTGGCTTCTCAGGAGAGGAGCTTGGAACTAGGCGATCCGTGACGCTGTAACCTGAATGACCACCTCGTCTTGCAGTCTGCTTGGGAATCTGGGCCTTCGGACGAGACGCAGCAAGGGCCGTACTGCCCGCCGCCATCGCAGGTTTAGGCTTCGAATCACTCGCCTTTGCGCCCTTCGGCTTCGACGTGGCTGTCTTCGACGTGGCTGTCTTCGACGTGGCTGTCTTCGACGTGGCTGTCTTCGACGTGGCTGTCTTTGGTGCCGCCGTCGATTTCTTCCCCGTTTGCGTCTCCTTCTTCTTCTTCTTCGCCACCTCCATAGCCTCGCGATCAATCGTGACCTTAATCCCGTCAATCTCCAGCGCCACTGTCGTCTTGCTCGTGGTCGTGGTCGTGGCCATGCTGGTGCTCCTCGTCTTCTTCGCCTTGCTCTCCACCACCTTCGTCTCGCCCTTGCCTGCAGCAGCAGCACCACCACCACCACCACCACCACCACCACCACTCTTCGCCCTCCTCAACGCACTAGCATACTCCTTCTTCATCTCCGCCTCCAAGGCGACAATCTCCTCGGGCACAACCAACGTCTTCGAAGCAATAGCATTAGTCAGCCGCACTTTCGCCGTATTCTTCTCCCTGGAGCGCGGCAGCCCGTAGTGGATCAACTGCGCTTCATACCAGTGCGCGACTTGGTCCTTGGGCGCGGACCCGGACCCGGCCTTCTTCTGTTTGCTGGAGGGGAGGAGCAGGTCTTTGAGGTCCTGGGCCGAGGCGCGCGGGTGGCGTCTGTTGGGGCCTAGGTCGACGAAGAGCGTGTCTCGGTAGATGAAGTCTCCTCTTCGCACTTCTGGAGCGGCCATGGTTGGGTTACGGAGATTGTGGCCGGTTAGTTAGTTACTGTAGCATGTGCGCGATGTGCGCGATGTGCGCGATGTGCGGGTGGAAAAGGATCCGGCTTCTAGCACTTCTGTATTTGACTACGAGGTAGGGAGTTCACTGTATGGCGTAGGTACTTCGTTAGCTTCCCGTATTAGAAGCTCGATCGCTTGTGGTTGACCAATTAAACACGAGGTGTTCGCCCTGTTGCCTGAGCAGCGCCAGCAGCACCACCACCACAGGAGTGAAGGGTTGAGGATTACAGGGGCAGTTACTTAAGTTGTCGGAATGAGAGATATTCCGGAGGTACTGTAACTCGTGTCATGCTCTTGGGACAAGCCTGGACAAGGCTTTGTGCTGACGACTCCTAACACTGGGTACGTACTCGGTACTGTACATCCAGCAATCACAATCATATTCCCGAAGACAACTGTTCGCCCTGTGTTGCACGCTTGACGCCCTCAGCGGCCGCACACTCAATGGCAAATCCGATACACCTCGCAATCCATCCAGGGCCCCAATAACTCAGCTCCATACAGTGCGGCGCCTCCAGCACAACCCCCCTCTCGACCCTCTGACTACTGGTAAACGCCCGCGCAAAGTCCTCGACATTCTCCCGCGTCGTCTTCCACAGTGCATCGTGTTGCGCCATCCCGTACATGATCGGCCATTGCACGTCCTTCGCGTAATCTAACCAGTAGTCCAGCCAGGTGAATGTTCCGTCCTCGATCTCACCACGGGACATGGAGTGGTCCAGTTGGGATGTCAAGGCGAGCACGTCTGGGGAAACGCGTAGGGCGAGTTCCTCCGGGGTAGCGCCGAACATGGGTGCGTCCTTGTGCTCCAGAGGCCAGTTTATCCGCCCGTTCACGGTCAGGGTGTCCATCATGTGCTTTGCGGCCTCGCGAGGCCGCGCGTGCACGGTACCCCATCCAGACATGATCAGTCCGCCACAAGGGTACGTATGTTGCTGCTGCTCTCGGGCGTGTAACGCGGCTGCCACTATGGCGCCGGGAGCGCCAAGGGAGTGGGCGAGGATGACAACGGTGGTTGCTTCCGAGGCCGCACCGTATGCTTGCCATATTGCGGGCAGGATGTGCTGATGGAGGTATTTGCCCTCTTCCTGAAGGAACGTGGACCCTGCTGGGAGCGTAGGGAGAGCCGTGCTATCCTTGTAGCCAGGGCGATCGACCGAGATAAATGGTACGCCGAGGGACGCTGCTATTCTCAATGCCGAGCTTGCAGTCTCGTTGGCAAAATAACTCGAAAAGTAGGTTCCGCCGTGCAGACCAACTATCAAGGGCCGATAATACGGTGTCGTTGATGTTCGGGACGGAATCGATAGCAATCCGGACACCTGAGCTTCATTTGTCAAAGATAGAGTAAATGACTCCATGTTGCTTGTTTTGAGAGTGGTAGTCGATAGTGCTCGCCTGCAGCTCCGACCATGCCCGTCGACGCCGTTGCCCAGACGATTATTGATATTCCGGATTTCTTATGCTCGACTCAGCGATCCGTGCTTTCCCCGGCGAGCAACAAGTACGGGGTACAGGTATCGGACATGTCTATCGGATCACCAATCCACCCTCCATCGTGCGGGGTATCGGATACGTACTCGGTGCATGAGTACATACCTCGGATGCCTCCAGGCGTGGATGGCATCGACCGTCGAGTCTTGCAAAGTTTCGCCGAGAGGGGAACCATTTGATCACAGAAAAGGAGCTTGCTGAGTGGGCGGGTCTAGCTGCAAGACTTTCTTCTGGAATTGGGGCTTGTAAACCGCATGGTGCCCTATTCCATCATGCATTGGGCGCGATTTGCTTCGAAAACCGCAGCCATCCTGTAGGGTACGTGATCAGGTTCACCAGAGCTGCGTCCAACATGGAGGGATGTTGGTAACATGGAGCGCCACGGTCTCGTGAAGCTATTTGATAGCTTCGTCACATACAGACACCTTCAATTCGGAGTCGGACTGGTAAAAGGCAGTAACCCCTCGACTTGAATCTCGCTCGCTCTAGGGTTGAGACGGAGGAGCTTTCGCGGGTGACCCAGTGAGCAAGCTGTAATCAGAGCAGCATGCTTTGCTTGAATATGTCGACACTTCTGTTTCAGCTCACGCTGGTGACACAAATCACCTAGAATATGAGGGTGAGACAATCCAGTCGAGCGCGAAAAGATTGAAGCTGGACCAGAGTTTGCAAACTTTCGATTCGTTTCTGCAGGGTAAGCCCGCTGACGCCGCATATACTTCGCTTCGAAGGCTTTCCACGGCTTTTTTCCCCCTCCCTGTTGCTCGAACGATCCCTGATGCAGAGAAGATGTTGTCGAGATGTCCGCCAACGCTGCGTGAACAACACCCCCCCGGCTCGAGATGATGAATTGAAGTCGTATAGCGATCGTGGTATCTCAAAAACTCGCACCAAGCAGCGGTAAATCCCGACTATTAGCGCTGAATATGTATTTGCAAATGGTCGTGGCGCGACGGGACTGATTACCGACGTCTGTGGCACCCTCCCTTCGCACGCCTCCCAACAGTCCGCGGTTACGCGGATCGTGCTGCTTGGGATCAGTGTCAGTGTTGCACCACATCCCGGTAGACCCTCGAGTCTTCGTTAAGTGGCAGTGTAGTGGGAAATTCTCCGGGCACATGCAAGTGGCTGATAGTCGTATGACTGTGTGACCGTTGCGCCGGTCTTAGGGTGTACTCAGTCGGAGCAGTCTTCGCTTCCCGGGGTCCAACAAAGACACCATTAGCGTCAAACAGGGAACCGTTTGGCGCCGTGTAGCCTGTGCTCGTAGGCACAGTCGACAAAGTTCCAGTGTCGGTGCCGGAGGAGATGGTATTCGCAACGGCAGAGCTTGGTGCTGTGGTCGATTCACTCATCGCACGAGGCTCGGTCGGTGCGTCAATCGGTGCTGCGGTTACGGCAGGGATCGGAGCCGAGGACTCGCCATACTGTGGAATTGCTGTCTCTCCGTCCAGCCTTTGAGCGGCGGTCGGTGTACGGTCACGGTCCCTCTGTTCCTGTTCCTGTTGCTGCTTGTGCCGATGTATCGTGCTTGCTGCCAACGCAACCCCTGCCGCAGCTCCTCCCCCAGCACCGATTGGTGCCATCCATTCACCATACTCACTGGCTCCGTCGTGAGGAGCTGCAGTAGGGTGGGCTGGAAATATGTTAGGATGATGACCTTGTGTGTACTGGTTGGCCGCGTTCAGCTGAGGAGCTGGGGCTGCAGGTTGATGCGCTTCCGGCTGCAAATCCGTGTGTTTCTCCATAGTGTTTGCGAACGGCACGCCACTCCCGGGAAGACCACCGGCGGCTGCTATTACATCACGGTCTCGGTCAGAACTTTCTCCACTAGAAGGGGAAAGCGGAGCTTGTAAGCCGCGCTGAACGTTGAGATCTGACGGAAATCGCCCACCTGGTGCTGGTCTTTGTTGAGGAGGTCGCCATCCGGCTTCAGATCTGTTGTCTTCGTTGTCATGCGAAGCCGCTCCGACACCTAGTCCACCCAGGCCGGCGACGGCGACCTGATCAGGCGGAGCAACCGAATTTCCTCGCACAGATTGTTCGCCAGAAAAAGCAACACGGTCGGCCTCGTCGTCCTCCAGACCGCCTTCTGAGCTGATGATGCTCGCGGGTTTGAGACTGTTGCCAGAAAATGACCGGGCGTGCGTTCGTCGGACAAACTCGTTGCGTTCCTCCCCTCGCTTTTCGGTGAGCTCTTTGATGTCATTGAACCAGGCAAGCATCGTATCGTGCGACTCGGCCCTGAACACCCAAGCGTGGCCGCGGTGCATCGACCCGGTTTGCCGGCCCTTGAGCATAAATTTATGTGAGGAAGAGTCGAGCTCCGAGTGGGAGCCCAGCTTCTGCTCGGGCAGATACAATGACATGACAGGGGCCTGGAATGCAATCCGGTCTGCCGACTTGAACTCGTGCAGATGAGTTGGAGAAAGAACATACCTGTCAGACATGTCAGTGTCCGGCATTTATAGCCTTGGAGGGGCTGTACTCACCACCCAGGGGTGTAGTTTTTCAGGTACTTGCTCTTTCGCTCCAGCATACCGCTTCTCACTTCGATCGCTGCAGGATGATCCTTTCCAGGATACACAATATGAGACACTTGCCTGATTGGGATTCTGGGGTCAACCATCTGACTGTTATTCGTGGTAAACTCGTCCCATTCATGATCTTTGGCCATCGCCAGCGGGCCTTCCTTCAACTTTTCAGCCGTGTCATAGTTTTCGTCGGCCTCACGGCGAAGAATGCCTGCCAACACATTGTACGCTTTTTGGATCTCACCGACCACGATAGATTCCAACTCACGGCCAGAGGCTTCTAGGTTGAGGTACGCCTATGAGGGTCAGCATCGCGGTCCTCATAATGTTGGCATCAGCGACCATACCCTATGCAAATAGTTCTCCTCATCAATCTGCTTTTCAATTTGTTTATCGAGCGCTAGCTTGACGAGGAAAGGATCACCCTTTCCGCTCGTGGATGCTGCATCGTGATCGACCGAGCCAAGTGCTTCCTGTAGAGATTGGACTGCCCTTTTGGTGGCCTCCTTTTCCTTGTCTACTGAATTCTTAAAATCACCAGACAGGCTCTTGATCTCCTTGATCTTCTGTTGCAGATCGCTACGCAGACCGGTCAGTTGTATGATGACCTCGTTCTCAAGGTCCCGAGCCTTGTTGGCTTCGTTCAGACCCTGTTTGTGGAAATCCCGCAGAATGTAGGCGGCGTCTCCCACCCCGCCTTGGGACAAGAAGTTGGGCGGTATGGTGGTATTGTTGATGACGTTAGAAGTTGACATGAGCGCCTTTGCCCGCGTCTCATAAGTCTTATGCAGTTCGCGGAAATAATTAATCAGATCCTTGAGGACTTTGCGCCATGCTGTGAAGAAGTCAGCCACGACGTTGGCGTACAAACGGATCTTGATACTCTTACCTTGAAACCGGATCGCGAGGAGCTCTGTTGGATTTCCGGTAGTGGGCACAGGACAGTAGAAGACGCTATTGGTTTCTGGCGTCTCCTCGTACTTCTCCTTCTCTCCCAACTGCAAGCTCCGCACGGAGCCGGCGTAGCTGCTTCTCTTGCTGGCGGTCCTTTTGAGGCTCGCGCTCTTGTGCAGCGAAGCCTTTTTCTTCAGCGTGCCTCCTCTCGAGGGCAGCAGGGTCTGCGACCCTGACATATGAGAATTCGTTCGCGGGAGCTCTGGAGACTCTTGATTCTGATTGACGACCTCATCGTGGAGATCGGCAGCTTGCGCGAGGGCGGAAGGGTCTTGCAAACCTGCTTGAGAATGGTTGAGTTGCGACCCCGTATCGATGGGCTGGGTGTGCTGGGTGCCGACGTAAGATATAGGTCGAGAAGATATTCTGGCGCTTGTCGGCCGCGCGGAGTGTATCGAAGGGTCGGGACGAGCGCTCTGGATGGGTGAGACGGGAGTGACGGGTCTCGAAGACATTGTGAGGGTGTGGGTGCGACAAGACAAGCCCAGTTCCCGAGCTCTTGCAGACAGTGATCGTTTGGCGACAGAGGTGAATCTCGTTCAGGGAGAGCTATGTTGCGAACGGCACCATGGTAGCGACTGGAGTCAGCTTTTGGCGCACCTCGGTATGCGACGGAGGGAGACTTCCAGGACAGAGGGATTGAAATCTGGCTTCCACGGAGCTGAACCGAGGAGACTCGAGAGCTTGGAATCACCAGGGAATTGAGTTGCGGCGAGAGGAGTGGGAAGTGGATGACGTCGATCCCAAGGCACAATAAGAACATAAGGTGATGATGATGATCGAGAGCGGGTGGGAGTATCGACGTCGAGCTGTCAGGTCCCAAGCCGGAAAGGTGACGCTTCGAGCTTGGAGTTTGGAGTCTGGGTGGAGGCGGAAGAGGCTGGTGGGCGTGGACTCGGCTTCTCTCGAGGGCAGAGCGGGAAGAGGTGGTCGAATCGCAGTCGCTTTCGGGGGCTTTAGGCGCAGTGGGGAGGCTGAACTGAGCAAGCTGAGAGCTGGATTGGCGCCTGCCGTTGGCGAACGGGGCATTGAACCGAGCTCGAGCGACTCACGATTGGCGGCGACCGCTGATGGGGCTTACAACGAGATTGAGTGCTGAGCAAAACGAGGTGGAGTGACGATTGATCTCCCTTTGATAGACATCACCATTGTCCGACGCTGATGCGAGGTCCATTTGCTTTGGTCCTCCGCTGAGGCAGCGCACATTGTTGTCGTCTAACGACTTCTCCAGCCCTCACTACCCGCGCCGTTGTGTTGTGGAAGCCGAGCATGAGCTTCCGTGTCATTGCAAGGGCATGCTGGGTAAGGGAAGCTGTCACTGCCCCGTGGTTGCATGGCTAGCCACAGGAACTATTTGATGGAGCCACCCACCGTGCAGGCATCATGGAGGCGGCAGCTGTTTAGGCGCGGATAGTGGAGTTTGACCGCATTGAGCAATGAGCTATCTAAGCAGCCATCGATCCTGGGGGCACCCTGGCGACCTTTACAACCACGTTGCATATGCAGGATGTCGCGGGTGTGCTCGGGCCATACATAACAGCATGCAGAACTGCCTCAGAGAGCGGCCGAGTCATGGAGATACGACACATTGAAGAAACCTGCATTCTGTGCGGTAGCGAGTTGTTCGCTGGCGATTTGGAATGATGGTTGGGTCGGAATAGCTGGGTGGTCCGAAAACGTAGAAAGCTCAAGATCTCAACATCAGTCATCATCCCTCATCCGTTAGCCATCTTCCAACAACCCGGGCCACAGGATTTACCACAGTACTCCGCCCGTGCTCGTCCTATGAGCGGTTGCATCGGCCACTAAGGACGATTAATATGCCAGAAGCTGTGCAGGTTGAAAGGGTTGGGTCCCATTCGCTTGCACATGCTTGGACTTTCAGAGAAGGACTCCGTAGTCTCCTGGTGTTCTGATTAACTCATCCCCTCTCGTACAGGACTGGCTCCGATAGAGAATATGTGCTTGGGTGCTGCTCAGACCCGAAGTTGAGATTGTCAGGTAATCCTCGTCTTCGGGGTTTGCTCGCACGATCAAATAAACATTCACGAACACCTCGACGATGACTCCGTCTTGATAGTCGCAAAGGCTCGTCCATTTGATTCGAATGATCCAGTCGCTGCCTTGGCGGGACTTCGCTGACTGACACACCTGCATTGCTGCGCTCATCACTGACCAGGACTGTCCTCCTCATTCCACATTTGCTGTCGGCCGCCTGCTACTGTAGCCTCTTGCAGCGCTCGGGTGCGGGAATAAGGACTGAAACGGCTCGCCTGCTTGCGAACGGTCTGTGGACTTTGAACGACTTGTCTAAAGCGCGCATGAAAATACACCCGGCGGATCTACTGCGGACCGAAGCCCTTTCAAGATCCCACACAGAAGGCTCAGCGCCGTTTGAGCTTGCTGTCTTTGTTTGACTATTTACACAGGGGGAATTCACCACTTTGCCAATTGCATGACTTGCTCCTCATCGAAAGTCCATACGCTTGTCCATGGCATCCATGTTGTCCTTTCGAGATCAATCGGTTGGAGACAGCCCAGGGTTCTCTAACATCCCATGCGAGACTGGGTCAAGTGAGCCACCACAGACTGAGGTCCTTATGCCCCAGGTGCAGACTTGCTCTCATAATATGGCGGCTGCACATCGAAGCCGTATCTTTCCTTGATTCTCTGCTTCCGTCTTTCCTCGTACCCAGGTCCGTAGATGCCTAACGCTGGTCAATCCGCCGCTCAAAAGTGTGTTCTGACGGACAATCTTACCTCTGCCTTCACCCAGTTCATTGATCGTTTCGTTGAGAGGTCTCCTGAACCTAGCCTTGGCCTCATCTTTATATGCCATTCGGTCGGCGAAAGGCTTGTCTGCAGCTGACTCGAACATGGTGCGACCGGTGTAGCTGATTACACCCATTACGCTGCCCAAGGCCAGAGCGCTACCTAACGTCGAAACCATCGACCGCTCTGCAGCCGGTCAGTAACGTCGCTTGTGTGTCGGAGTGTGTTACCATACTCCAAAGCCCATTTAAAGATCCAGCCAGGGCACCTCCAATTGTGTGGTTGACAAAGTCGTTCTTTTCACGCAGATTGGCCGAGGCGATGCTGGTGAACTGGAAAACTCCTCCCATTGCCGCTAGAAGGTGTCAGAACATGTCCTGCTTCGACCGCTAGATTGTGCCAGCCATACTCAGTAGACCAATCGTTCTCCCAAACCGCGTAAACACCCCGAAAGCACCAATTTGTTCCTTCGCCACTGTGTTCTGTACCGAGGCGATGAAGAGGCCCGCGGCGCCTGTCATCATCGCCGACCGGGCGGAGCGGCCCAGTGCATCTTGTGGTTGGTAGACGGGGCCAACGTCGACGTCGGCATCGAGGTTGGGCTTCGGGTCGACCAAGTCCCCCATGGCTGCGGTCTTGACTGTGGAAGCTCAAACCGAGGAGCTCAAATCATCAGGAGCTGCACCGAGACAAGCAACTCGAAGGAGGTTCGTGGAAGGGGACGAAGTGCGAATAGGCCGGTACTTCACCTGGGGCAGTCTTGTTCGCTGTCATACGGAGCGTCTGCAATTGAAGCTCTGATGTTGGAGATGCGCAGGCTCGGCTTGGCATGGCAAGGCATGAAATGACGCCGCTAAAGGCTACGCGCCGCCGGAAATGGAATCTCCAGCTTCGACAGTTGATACTATTTGCCATTGCCAGGCTGCTACGAACAACGCCGCAACAGCCAAGTCTCCCGTGATGGCAGGCCCATTGTACACTTCCAACGGTCGATAGCTTCTCTGCACCTATGATTCACAGTGCCGCCGCTTCTGTCATTCGTCGACGGGGACCTGTGTCGCCAACAGTCTTGGGCAGCCTTCCCTTCAGTCTCCGCGTCGTCTGCCCAAGACCGACCTGAACTTTCACCTCTCCATCATAGTAGATGTGCTTCTCGGGATCGCCATTGTTCGCATGACTATATTTCAGAGGCTTCCCTTCTCACCTGCTTCGCCGCCTCAATCCGCCGCCTCCTCTGCCTGCGGTGCTCGCCTAGGTAGCCGGTAATCCATCGCCAATCCATCTTTGATGGCTGGGGTGCAGGGGAATATCCGGTCATTTATTGCGCCGATAAAGGGATCTGGTGCGTAGGGAGAGAGCAAAGCGAGAGCTTGCATCATAATAACTGTACATCACAGGGCGCACCGCTCCAGCTCTCCTCGAGGACGTAACGCTCTATGCGCCATGGCGGGACTCGAGAGACATTCCAAACCTGCTGGCCGACTCTCCGCTCGCATTCACCAATGTACAGTACCTCGCAGAAGCCCTACCTCTTCAGAGCTGCAGACACAAGTTCGGCCTGAAGCCAAAACAGTCTCAATCACCTGCGTTGGACGAAAGACCGGGCCCGCAGACGATATGGACCGTGGCAGCGGTCTGTCAAGTGTGCCGCGTGCACCTCCATGTCAAGATTGACTATACCATCAGATTCGACGAGGAGCCCTGTCCGAGCCCTCAACATCCCCTACATCACCTGGTGAGGTCGGAGTTTCAAGAGCCTCTGGAGAGGAACGCATGGAGGCGTCTAAACCCAAACTCTCAAGACGAGATATATACGTACAAGTGCTCTTCACATACTTGCTCCGCTACAGTCACCCTGCGCTTCAGTCCCCCGGTGCTGCGGCAAAGCGACGTTCACACCCTGACCGATCCTGGGTTGCTCCGGCAAAGAACAGAAGATGCATTCCGAGAAAGAGGCGGTAATACCGAAGGAATGCGGCATCCTGGCCCGATGGATGTCCTGCTCGACCTCCGAGCCTACCTGAAGAACTCCTGGAGAGCAAGAGATGATCCGAAGTTCAAGTCGATCAATTTGTCCAACAAGCGCTTTATCGTTCGATTTGGTCCAGAAGGCAGTGCTTGCAGAGATGTGCTAGAGCACCTCGGGTTTCAACTGGTGGTAGGTCAGCGATCGCATTACGTTTTTGCGTCGATATTGACCTGTTGTCTGGTAGCCGGGCGATTGCTGGATGGTCCCAGAACCAGACTTTGAGGACCAGCAGCCCTACCAAAGTCCCGTCAATCTGTGGTTAGACAATGCCGAGCACGAGCTGCTAACCCTCATCATGGCACGACCTTACGAGGAACGTCAGCAACTCCAAGATGTATCACCACCTGTGCCTGCTGAGAGGGAACTGTCACGGGCCCTGGGGTGTCAAGACTGTGCGTTGCCTACCCGTCGCTGCACGTGGTTTGCTAATAGACGGTGTAGATGATTCGCATCCGTCGAGCAGGGCATCGCATATCTCGCCCGACATGCGGACACCCCCGTTCATCGCCCTGGGTGCTCCGATGGATCTGTCCGATCCTCTTATTGCCAGAGCATATCAATGGCAAATACAGACTGACCCGCAAAATGCACCCGTATATCTCAGTAGCCTGAAATACATCGCAAGCCTGCGCCAAAGCCCTGATTTGGAAACTGAAGTTGTCATAGAGACGTCGCAGGGCCGGTTCGATACGGAGATGTTAACGGAGGCTTACAGAGCCTTGCATCTACTTGGGCAGGAAAGTACAATCAGCGACGAAGATGTCATCGGCAGTTTCACCGCCCAGTTGGCAGATTCCCCGAGCCACGAGCACCAACTGCGAGACTACTTGCGCATCATAGGCGTCCATCGTAACAGCAAACGCATCACAGACACTGCGATGAACAGTGAGTACATCGGACCGGTCGCAGCTACCATAACTGATCGTTCCGCAGTCATTGATAGCTACGAGGCGGCGCTTGCCTTCTTGGACGCTGATGCCTCAAATGATGATGAGAGCATTCAAGCATTGTTTGCTGTCAAGGTTTGTCACCTCACCAGAGGCGCTAGGCAACCAAACTGACAGTCTTCAGACCTCCGAGAACAAAACTCTAGAGGATCAAGCCATCCAAGCTGTTCGTCTGATCGCGAGGCACCGGCAAAGTCGATTCTTGACCCAGTGGATCGACTCGGGATTTTCAGCAGACGCGCACAACGTCATGGAGGCTGCCGAAGGATACCAAGTGCTCCAGATCGAAAACCGGGCGGTCGAAGATGAGATGGTTCTGCTTCAATACACCATGGCTGTTGAGGATAATCCAGGCAGCGTCGACCACTACAATAGAGCCCTGACCGCCATCGCCCGCGAACGCAAGAGCTCGATCTTGTTGGATCAACTGCACAGCGCGGCGCCCAGGGAACCGCAAGGCACACCAGAAGAGCCCGTCGGTCTCGAAAATATCGGAAACACCTGTTACCTCAACAGTCTCTTGCAGTTTTTGTTCACCATGAACGAGCTGCGACGGCTGGTGCTCGATTTCGACAGGTACAAGATGGGTCTGGATGAGAAGAGCATGGAGACAAAACGAGTTGGCCAGCGGAAAGTCAGTGTCAAAGAGGTACAAAGTGCGCAGAAATTCGTTGATAGCCTGGCGTCGCTGTTTCGCGGCATGATCCAGACGCCACAGTCCTCAATCAAGCCAGAGCAGGAACTGGCACGACTGACGCTGGAAACCGAAAGCGTCAAGGAAAAGATGCGTCGCAGATCGACCCTCAAGTCCAACGAGCGGCCCAGCTTAGGCTCCATTGACAATATGCCTCTACTGGGCCCGTTACCCAAGGACGACTCTGCGGCTAATGGCGCACCAGATTCTGCGGTGGCCCAGTCTCCTGCTGAGGCCGACACTATCGGCGACCCTCTGTCCACTTTCGACGCCTCAATACTTGATGCCGCGAGTGGCGCAGATGCAGTTGACGACGCAACGATGAACGACAACTCTAGTGAAATCACCCTAGTCTCCAAGCCCGACAGTGAGCAGAATACCGCTGAAGGGCTAAATGAGCAGGAGCAGCAGGAGCAATCTTCGGCCGTGGATAACAAAGAAAATGTGTCGCCTATCAAGCCTCCGATGACAACAATGGCCGCATCGCCTTGGACAGGCCAACCTCTAGAGCCGACCGCAGCGTCAATGCTGAATGCGCAAGCACCTGCATCGTCCGAGCAGACAACCGACAAGGGGACTGACATAGATCCGGAACTCATGAGGTTCGCTCCGCCTCCCGGAAAGCCACCGCCAGTGCCTCCAAGGAAACCAATTCAGAATCCAACCACGACATTGGAAGAGTACGCGCGACAGCAGGATGTCACCGAGGTCATGAACCACTGCATCATCCAATTGTCATATGCAATGCGGCCCACGGGCTTCGACAAGTCTGGCGAGCAACGTGACGAGATCCACGATCTCTTCTTCGGTCAGCAGATTGTCCATACTGAACCGCAAAAGGAACCACCAGTAACATTGCCATTCCTCAATATCATTACGCGCGTCTTTCAACGACCGAGCGATGTCTACGCTGCCATCGACAATGAATTCGACCTTCAAGACGCGCAAAGTGGTGCCAGGGCATATACTTCCATCGCTGGTCTACCGCCAGTGCTAAGCATAGCTCTGGACCGAGTGTCGTGGAACAATGAAATCAAACGCCAAGAGAAACTCAACTACCATGTCGACGTACCGGAGACCATCTACATGGATCGCTACCTTGAAAGTCCACCAGATTCCGACTTGATGCAAAGACGGCAGCAGACATGGGAGATTAAGAAAGAGCTGTCGTTGCTTGTTGCTCGCAGAGACGAATTGGAAGAGAAATATGTAGGCTTTGTGCTTCACTGCAATGCCTCCAATGTTGACAACTGACATTTGTGCAGGCGAAATCCGCCGACATTCCAAGCCTTCTCGAAGATGCAAAGCTGGCGCTCGAGCACCTGTCGGAGATTCGCAGCGACCAAATATCCGAAGGCTTGGACATCAATCCGAACGCCATCGCGACCCTAGGGACCCTTGCAGAAACCGCTCGGTGTGAGCTCGAAGGTGAGTTTTCCCGGCCACAAATATTGTGGACTCCACTGACCGTTCATAGAAATTCGAGGCCGAATCACCCAGCTCACTCAACAGGTTAAAGAGTCCTTCGCCGACATGCGCAAACACCCGTATCGCCTGCACGCCGCATTCTTCCACCGCGGCAGCGCTGGCGGCGGCCACTATTGGGTCTACATCTACGACCACAAGAAGGAAATCTGGCGGAAATACAACGACGACCGCGTCTCCATCGTAACGAACCGAAACGAAATCTTCGGCAATCCATATGCGCAAGGCCAACAGTCGGCCAACAATCCGCCACCGAATCCATACCTCTTGATCTATCTCGACGCGGATAAGATTGATACCTTGGCCGAGACGGTCAAACGAGAAATTGTGTTTCCGCCACCGGATCAACCACCTCCTGTTCCCTCACGGAACCCTCCGCAAAACCAAATGTCAGCGATGCCGCCAACTCGGGCTACCGGTAGCGGCGAAGAAGACGTGGAAATGCTGGAATACGTCAACGGTGGTGAGCAGGCCCTCTCCGACAATATCCTTGTCCACCCGCCGGACCCGAAAATTAAGAAGGAAGGCGATTGGGATGATAGTGAACTGATTGCGGATAGGGCGATTGAGTGGTAATGAGAACGACCAGGAAGATGCGTGGTGGAATTTGCAGCCTCTGCTGTGATGCTGACCTCGGGCTGCCGAACTGAGCGGTCAGCGAGGTTGACTGCGATTTTGGACACCCAGATGAATGATGGCGGAGCGGAGAGGCATTTAAAGCATTGTGTCAGTGTAAAACCAGGACTGCATCGGCTGGAAAGAAAGGCGCAGCATTGCATCGCGCGTACAATAGCTAGAGCACGGCGTGGCGGGTACGACATTGGTCTTCCACTTTCCACACCATCAATGTCGCGTGGGCCTAACGGGGTTCTTCTTACGCCTCTGCGCGTCGCGGCGAATGCCCCAAACACCGAAAGACAGCCCACTTCTTTGCTCGCAATGCCATGGCTATAGTCCTTCTGGGGCCTTTCCACAATGATGCTGCACTTGACCAGTGACACGGGGCAGTGGATGCGTATAAGTGTGAAGTACCAAGGCGATGGCCACGACGGACGCTGCTGCTTCATACATAATACGTAAGTAGTAATAGTCCTGGAGACCCAAGACAAGCAGGTCGAGATTCCGTCGTCGGATCACGTACAAAAGTGCAATCCTATGGATGTAATGTATCTTAATTGAGCTCGAGCTCGCTGTGTCCATTGCCCGTGGGGAGCTCTGATCAAGATGCTTACCGCCTGCCTAATTATAGTAGTATAGCAGCTCACTGGAACGAAACATACCCCGCCCTTTCTTTTTATCACTTCAATAAGGGGCTGGTGATTTGACTACTGTAGCCGTGCCTAGCTGAGCCGAGTTCTTCTGAAGGGTCTCGTCGGCCGATGAACCCAAATATGTACTCCGTAACTCCGATATGAACAAGGAGTGGGCAGGGCTTTGTTGTGGTCGGTCAGATTACAATCCATAAAGGAGGCAGCTCTCTTGGTGGATGGTATAGACTGTGGCTGGCATGGATGACATGTTGTTCTGAGCTGGAAAAGCAAGCCGCTTCCCAAAGGCCGCGATCCTTTTCAGCATTGTGAGGGAACCTATCGCCTAAACTACCAAGGACGTTGCCCCTCGTGCTCAACGGCGTCGTCCGGCTCTATTCGTATTTCCACATATAGGTTGGGAGGTCGATGCAGCATGTGATAGTGTGAAGGCGATACAAAATTGCAATGCCGCAGAATGTGAGTTACCCAGTGCCACTGAGTTGGAGAAACGAAGCGTGCTTTCAAGTCGAGTTGGCTGGGTGGCACTGAAGCGGGTGGTAGGCAAGCGGAAGAGTTGTCGCATTGGGTCTGAGAAGAATGTCAGCATCAAGGTACCGACGGTGAGTAGGTGACCTGGATCCTGCGACCGCGCCGTGGTGTCTAGGGTTGACTTCCTGTTTTATCACGTTTGAAAACATGGCTTCAATTTTGTCGCCAGCCTTGTGGTACGGATATCAAGGTTTCTCCCTGGCCATCACGGTTACGGTGACCGTCAGTAACCGATACCGCCTGAGCCTGATAATACATCAACGCCTTTGCCCTGCTGAAACGCGGCGAGGACCCTCTCCCCGAGCACAAGTGTTGCTCCAAAAGCTGTAACCTCGACGCCGTGCCATAACTCATGTAAGCATACCTCTATGACTCACTAGACGAGATATGCCTCGCCCAGTCTCGTGGTAGGACGCGATTGCGTACTACCAACAGTCGTTCCGCTCTTCTTACCCCCTTTGACCCATTCCCATATGACGCGTCTCTGTTCACTATCGTTGCCTAGGGGTTTGGACTTTTTCGCGGGCCTTGCAGGGTCGATGATGTGGGGTCCGTTGCTGTATGCAAGTTAGACATGTGATCAGGACAGAGAAATGGGGAGCGTACTCTCGATACTTCAATTGAACCTGAGCCTTGCCCTCTTTTTGCCTCGAACTATTCACCTCGGCGACGAATTCTGTAAGGATGGCTCGGCTTGGCGTGTTCCCGAAATTAATCTGAGGTTCAGCGGGCTTGGCTAGTGCAGCTGTCTTTGCTTGCACGAGACGTTTTGGCTCCGAAAGCTTGAAATTGGGTGGGACAGGAACATCATGAATCTTGATCGCTGGCCTAATGAATTGCTCCTCTTCGTCGGTATTGTCTGATTCTTGAGCCGGAGTTGATACACCTGCTTTCAGAAGGCCTGCACGACCTCTAATCTTGAGGCCTTCTGGTCGGAGACCGCGGTTGGCAGCCATTTCTTCCATGCGCTCCGTGTCAGCCCCGACGCTGAGATTGATAATCGAGTCTCGCGGGAAAGCTTTCAGAGACCATCTCGCTGTTGCTGCTTGGTTGGCAAGTTCACAGTCACCCACCAAATGTGACTTGCTTGCACAGATACTACAAGAGACCCAGAGCCTCAAAGGCTCGCCGAGAGGGTCTCTACTCCAAGGGAAAAATCGCTGAGGACATGTTTGTTCGACGTGGCTCAGACCTCCGCAAATGTCGCAAGGAACAGTGGTAACCTTCAGGCTACTCCGGCAAGACTCGGCGGCGTGTCCTCTATCGCGGCACCTTGAGCACCGCTGAAGCCGGGGACAGGAGCGGCTGGAATGGGGGTTCGAGCAGTAGACGCATACAATTTCTGGACAGTTTCGCTCAGCATGACCTGGCTGAAGACAGTTGAGGCAGACGGCGGCCTGATTGAGATCTATAGTGTCGGAGTCGACATCGAAGAAGGCATATTTGATTTGGTTTTCAAGGTCTTCTGGGCTCAGATCCGCCAACCGTGGACCTGCATGGGCACTAGAATTCGTCACCGAGGATTCGGTGGAGACAACGTTGACAAATCGCTCGAGATCGCCCTGTAGCTGGTTGTGAGCTTGGTGTCCCGTGGAAGACAAGGACTGGGATGTTTCTCGTGCAGAGGAATGTGCCTCTGTGCCACCTCCTCTTGACTGAGCGCCGTAGACCTCATCGACATCCATGGAGTCGGAAGCGTCTTCGTGTTCGGAGTGGCCAACGTTAATGACCATCCCACCGTCCGACTCTTCCTCGTCATCTTCCTCGTCGTCTTCCTCGTCGTCTGAAATCTCAATGGCGTCATACGAGGAAGCGCCTAGATTGGCAGCCATTTGGGAAGAGTCGGGGGATTTGCGCATGACTGGCTGAAGGGGAGGCAGTGGCATCTGGCGGAAGCCCGTAGCTAGACGGTTATTCCCATACCCTGAACTGGAAGCCATCGCGACGCTGGAGGATACTGCTGCTGCTGCCGGCAACAGAGGTACCTCTGATACTTGTCTGTCTGCGCGGCTGGGAGGCTGCGAAGTCTCAGTGGCCGTGCCTGAATTGAGAGATGAGGGTGACGACGTTGCAGGTGAAAGAGAAGGTGCGGCATAAACTTGACCTCTTCGCCTGATTTGGCGGATGGAACCTACAGCGGAGGTCCTAGACTCGCTATCGCCATCATCGTTGGGAGCGAGTCTACTCATCAGGTACCTTTCAGGTCACGGAACGCGTGTTCAAGAAATCTCTGAGCGGGTGGTGAAAGTTGCACAACGACCCGGACGGGCGCCAAGAATGGGAGGTCCGGCGAAGCAGAAGCGCCACCACGCCGCGCCGGAATGGTCGTGTGCTGCCTGCGGCGCGCAGGGCTCGCTAAAGTTAGATGGGTTGGTGGCTACGTATGCAGTGTCCTTTAACTGGAAGCTGGGCTCGCCCATCCACTTTGGCCATTCCCCCATGAATTCTCGATGTGAAACCACCACAGCGTGTCTCCGTGCATACTCGTACCATTTCGGTCTTTGACTCTCCGGATACTCAACACTCTATTCACACAGCTTTCGAAGCCTCTCAACTTGGACTCAATCGCTGCTCACTCCCACTTTACTTCGCCAGGTCAGAATCCGGGCCTTCTCAGTCGTGCTGTGCTCAACGCGATTTGTCCCGCCTGCCACCACTTCAGGTACCCGCGAGTTCTGACGCCACCTTCAACACTCGCCGTGCTGACCACACACGCAGGCGTCGTCGACTGAGCCCCTACTGCATCTCTTCTCTCACGCAGATGACCTCCCAAACAGCCCTTCACCGAAGCATCTCCTTTGAAGCCAATGCGAGACTTGCACCTCCCGTCTCGTCCTACGATCCAAGCATGAGTACCACGAAAAGCGGCCGACGGAGGAGATCTAGCAGTATAATATACCAAGAACCCCCCGAGTCGTTAGAACAGATCAGCGATCAGTCCGCCCTGCCCAACCTCAACTCGCAATGGGTGAACGCAAAAGGTACGCTTCCGCAGTCGTGGAGACCGGTGCCTTGCTTGACAGAAGACTGACCGATGGTTATGCAGGGGCCTGGACGATACACCCCGTCATCATACTTGGTCTCAAGATCCTCTTCGATATAATCCCCGGCGTCACCCAGGAGATATCGTGGACCCTGACCAACATAACCTATATGGCCGGCTCATATCTTATGTTTCACTGGGTGCGAGGCGTGCCCTTCGAATTCAATGCGGGAGCATATGACAACCTCAATATGTGGGAGCAGATCGATAACGGCGACCAATATACGCCGGCAAAGAAGTTCTTACTGTCGGTCCCCATCGTCCTGTTTCTGCTGAGTACGCATTATACCCACTACGACTTTACTTACTTCACCATCAACTTCATGGCACTCATGGCGGTCGTGATCCCGAAGCTACCACAATTTCACCGTGTACGAATTGGTCTCTTCTCGGACCCGCCCGACGAGTGATTCCTGCAGCGATGGGCTTTCTTCGATTTCGGAGCTGGGAACGATCGGGTTCGTATGGTGGCATCCGTCTCCTTCACTCTCTTTCTGAGCCACATGTGTTCTTCTCGCTTGTCTTCTTCACCTTACTTTTGGGAAGTCAGAATACAAACGCAAATTGTGATTTTGTGGTAACAGCAACCTTCACACCCCGCCAAAGGTCATCTTGGTCGAAGATCAAAGTTGGGGGACCCAATGGCACATGAAGCCGCAACAAAAGGGTTGAGAGGCATGGGTCGGGAGAATGTTCTTTGGGCCCAAGGACAACTTGAATGGGATATTGCGACACATGATTGGGGACTACAACCCTATGCCGCCTGTTCTGGGCAGGATGATGTTCCTGGGATCCATCTGATGCTACCTGCTTTCCACATCAATGATATCCACCTTGCTCAGTCCATCACGCGTTTTCTTTCCTTCTACTGACTGGAGCACCTCGACACCCTACCCCGTAAACGTTGATAAGATGAGGCACTTACTTAGTGTAGACTGCATCCCACTTCTGAATCCTTCGTTAGCAGAGGATGTCCTGCTTTACAGAGAGACCCTGCTCTTTCTCGATTTTCCGCCACGTTAGTGTGGATTCACCCGCTTTCTTACCCAGTACTGGGGTTTTAAGACTGTACCTCTATCCCAAAGCCGCCAGTGTGTGCACCATACCCGTCGAGCAGATCATATCAGATGAGGGCAGCTCGGCTCGGCTCAACACGGCTCAACTCAGAAACATCTGTCTCAATCAACTAGCTAGTTACGTAGCTAATTTAAGCGGCAGCGCAACAAAGTCAAAGATTGAAAGCAGAAATGGAGAGAGAGAGAGAGAGAGAAGAAAAAGACAGAGAGAAAAAGACAGAGAGGAAAAGACAGGGAGGAAAAGACAGAGAGAAAAAGACAGAGAGGGAGAGGGAGAGGGAGAGAGTGAATGAGTGAAAGAGTAAGGGAGAGAGAGAAAATATCCACCGCTCTCGTACTGTCAAAAACCGAACCAACCGACTAGCTCTGAGCTCTCTTTTACATTCGTCCGAAACGTGACCACCTCTAACTGTCCAGAAAAATGGGGACTGCTCGTTCTGGATGTGCGAAACTCATAACCCGCACCATCAGCCTGGAACACAGGAAGAAGAAGAACATTAGGGTCAAGTACTTCTCGAAGACCGTTTCAGTTCCGCGCAGATCGAGCCGCTACCGATATCTCCGTCTCATTCCATTCCATGCGGAAACCCCATGGTCGGTGAGTAAGTCTGTAAGTACGCAGTACTGTATTCGTAGTTGGACTGGTGGACGTTCTTGACGAAGGGAGAACAGCGGAGGGGCGACAAGTCAAGCAGACTCGAAGGGCAGGCAAGTGGGTACATAGGAAGCAACCACGATGTTTACCCCAGGGGAAGGGGGTTGAGGTCCCACGCTATGCCTTCTCATAAAGTATCGTGGCAATCCATTCCATGCAATCCAATGCAATGTGATGTATTTGCGTTATACGGGTAGTCCAGCGCAACACAACGTGATACAGTGCGCTGTGTTACAGTTTGATGGTGATGGTCTAGGCTGAGACGCTCCGTGTGAGAATCGAGGGAATGTCGCTTCCAACACTGCACCTCCATGACCGACTAGGTAGTCAAGACTGGCTAATGGACTGTATCGCATGTTGCAGCATTGTAACAGGAGGGCGGTGCTGCGTTGAGGAAAGGGTACAACATCAACATATGCCATCTGTTCCCAACTGTAATGGTAATGAGGTCTTACCTTTCACAATTATCTGCAAGATGGGTGGTCGCCATACGATGATCACTTAATGTAGTAGGGATTTCTGTCCAGCAGTCATTGCATCCGGTGGAGCGTTTCGTTGCTCCACAATGCGTGCATGGGAGGTACATCAAGCCAACGCTCAGCCATGCGTCCTCCAGTCTCAAGAACTGCGTCGTCCCGGGGATCGACAGGGTACGGCTCACCGTTGTTTTGGAAGATCGGCTGGCACGGTTGATATACCTCAAAATCAGGGCGGTATGTGCAGACATATCCTAGCCGCTTCACATGCATCAACAGACATTCATCTAAGCTCACCAAGCAGTGAGTATCTCCACTCATGTCTTGTAGCACCATTGATTTCGAGCCATGCTGAGACTCGAGCCGAGCCACAAGTATGCCATAACCACCGTCCACAAGAGGAATGCTGTCAAAGGGTGTATTGACAGCCACTGTCTCCGCGTGACCTGACTCGATGTGAAGTGTGTCAAAGGACTAAGCTTGCTCTTTGAGTGGTGAAAAGTAGATTTAATCACATCGGACAACATCATTAGACATGGACAAGAAAGAAAGAGCCGATGAAGTGAGAGGAAACAAACATAATGTAAGGTTCGAAAGGGTCGCCGTCGGTGCCAAGGAAACTAGACTGAGTTGGGTTTGGCGCAATATGGCACCTTCGACCCGTCAGTCCAGCATCATTGTTGACGAAAGATGCAGCTTGAGTGACGGGCGGACACTGTGATCAGCAGCAATGCGTATCACTCTGTTCACAGGCGAAGACAAATTCAATGAAAATATGCATGGTCATTGCCATTAGGACGCTCTAGTGCGCAACCTGGCGCACTGAGGTCGTTGTACAACACCATGCTCCTTCAGAACATCTCATAAATTTCCGGATCCAGCTGGATCCTATCACCCAGCCCGAAGCACACCGCACTCATCGCACACAGCTCACGACGGTCCTCCCTCTCACACGCCAGCATCGGCAGGACGTGGGGGTTCTCAATCAACCCGCTGTCGATGATCTTATCCAGATCCCGAGCAGGGTTCCCCTCCCAGGTCACCGTCACTGAAGCAACAAGCGAGTTTCCTCGTTGTCCCAATCAGTTTGCTCTCGCAGGACAGAGACGCAGATGGCATGCATCGCCGCCTTCTGCAGACATATAATGTCCAGCTTGTGCGCGAGGTCAGCTGTCTGCAACAACGCCTTCTTCTCCCCGTACGAGATGTGCTCGCCCAGGGCTGGGAGTCTGACTTCCAGAACTCCGCCCTTTAAAAAGGTCACTGCACTCTCGACGACGCCCTTGTCAATGCGGCCGACATCGATCGTGCCAACGAACGTGCCGTGCACCGCACCGAACAACTGGCTGGCGTTGCTGAAGATGTCGAAACCGTTCAGCGCCGGCGAGAACATCATGAGCAGTCGAACCGGGACCTCCACGACGTGCCTCGACTTGAAGTCGTTCTCGCGACAGCATCTGATATGAAGGAAGGCTTCTGAGCCTCCAGGTGGTGCGACGGGACTGTTCAGATTAGTACTCCGCCAGATGGAAATGGCTGATGTCACTCACGCTGGCACTTCTTCACCGTGCAAGTAGCGTATCACAATACACTTCTCTTCCGTCATTGTTTTGTCGATGCAGTGACTTTCGCTAGAAGTCCATGACTTCGCCGATGCCGAAATCTTTTCGAGGTTGGTCACTCGGTAAGCCAAGCCAAGAACCTCAGGATCCCTGTGGATAAAATTGGTATATCTCTGTCTTGCCCTGGCTTGCATCGAACTTCCTTGCGTCTGAGCATCCTGCGAATCTCGGCTGTGGCAGCTTTCGGTTTCACTAGAAGACGTATGATCGTCCTCAAGAGTGCGTTCGGACTGTGGGGTTGATGTCCGCTGGTGCTCGTCGATGTTCTGACTTTGTTCCTCGGATACTCTCTCAACGACGTCCGGGCCTGTGGGTTCTCGCCCTCCATTTTTGCCGGCAGAGTTCACTGCGCTGTGCTTGTAGAGATTGAGCAGGGACTTGAGACAGGTTATCAGCTTGCGTGATTTGTGCGCTTGCTTTTTGAGGTTCATCGTCATGTTCGTCTTGTTCCAGAAGCGTAAGAGGTGCAGGAGTAGCTGCGGATCCGGTTTCTCGAGGGAATTGAGGGCTCTTCGCGGACGCTGTCTCTACACCATAGCTCGGAGGAGTGGTTGTCTCGGGTTACTGTCCACTGGGGGTGTATCTTGCAGTAGTGGAGTCGTCGACTTCGATAGAAGATACAACAGACGCATCGCGATCTCGGACAGAATCCTGCCCATCTAGATCATCCAAAGAGTGTGGTCCTCTCTTCTGGTCCTGGGCTGCCAATTCGCTCATATCTATGTCATGTTGACGCTTTCTCTTAAAGAAGCACGAGCAGCAAATCCATAGGTCTTTGATGAGTCAATACGCAAGAAACTACCAGTGGGCGTGTGGAGGTGGTTTGACTTACTCAGCCGCCCACAGAAGTCTTGCACTTCTTTCCTTCCACAAGTCTTATGATACCAGATCGTTTCGCAGTCCGGATCATCACAGAGAATTGCCTCTTGTTCATGGTCACCAGCTTTACAGCTGCACCAACCCAACTTTCTGTCTCTATGTTCGTGTGCTGCCCCATGCTTGAGAGCTATCGACCTCCTGACCAACAGCTTCTCTAGGTTTGTAACCGTCAATCGATAGGCGCGGGCTTCGATTGGCTGGGCCCTGGGACGAGCTTCCTGTTTGGGTTCGGCTGGTGCTGGTTGTGGGGGTTTTGGAATTGAGGCTTCCGGACTGGGGCGTGGACTTGTAGTAGCTGTATCAAGCAATTTGCGTTTTTCATCTGACCAGGACCCGATGCGTTGATGCTTTGGTTACTTTCCTCTCTCTGGCGCGTGACCCTGCGGAGCGTCGTCATCCTCATGAAGCCGCTTTTTTGTGTTGACACTTCGCGTTGAGCTCGTGCTCGCGTGCGGCTGATAGGATGTACCCTTAGCAGGCATGGCTATGAAGGAAATTGGTTCGAGAAGAATAAAAATGAGTGAAAGTGTGTGGCGTGATGAGCTGGTGAGGCCAATGTCAAACTTGTGTGTGTAAAAAATCATTGAGCAAGGAGGCTAACAGCGCAATTCACTTCGACCGTGCTGAAGCCTCCTGATCACACGGATCCTCGGCTTGGCGTCGAGGGTCAGAGAGCACATTCACTGTCAGCCACGAGTTGTGGTAAGCTTGGCGCCTTGAATTCACTCGCACATAGCAGGCTGTGAAGTTGTCAATGGTATTGGCGTAAAACCAATAAGCCCACAAGGAGGGAAAAAATGAAGGTCGACATTCGAACCTTCATCTTTGCCGGAAAGATTTCAAAAAGAAATCTCAATGTTGAAGTCGAAGAGGTGTATCGTATCGAAAAGGGCATCTTGCAACTCGTCCAGTATAGAGGTACAAGGATGCTGCAACCCATATGGCCCCGGGGCCAACCGCTACAGTGGATTTCCTCCATCGAGGACTGGTGCTTTATACCCGAGAATTGTATAGCAACAGATAGGTTCACGGACCCCACGGGCAGCCGCGTATCAAGGCCCGCCAGTCTGGGGAAATTGTTAGTTGTGGCATAGAAATACCTCAGTGGAAACCGACCTTTATCAGACGCCAAATTTTGTCAAAGTGAGAATATATATCAATAATTTTCGGTGACTGCGTCGAGGTCATGTGAGTGGTTCACCTACCGCGTGAATTCGAATCACTCCTAGCACACCCTCTTCAATGCACACCTACCGGTAACAGGTTTGTTGCATGGGAACGAGGCGTGGATGTATTCTTAAACTAGACCATCAGCTCACCCCAGTCCATCATACCAGCACAACCAAGTCGTAGAATCACGCGCAAGAAAGTCTCAACCCTAACGTAGCAATCAGCTACAGTAGTATGACGTTCCATATCCAATAGGTATGCTTGTCTACTCGAGCAGGCGGACATTCTTGATCCAGGAACAAAGAAGGGAGACAAAGACAAAGAGAACAGGAATCTGAAGAGGGGATAAGGTTGAGCCAAGACGCTTTGCCCGAAACGTCGACGCGGCAGCTTGGCCTCCTCCAGCAACGAAGCACGAATCATCCCATTCTTCATGCTATCCTCAGACAAAGTAGAGGTATATTTGAGCTGAAGACGTGTACCATAGGCAGGTCGGATGCGCAAGAGGTGAGATACGGGGGTTGGTATACAAGGCAAAGATCCTCTTGGTACAAATCGGAACATCGTGTCCAATCGTATCGCACAAAATTTTGGAGACGACTCACGATAGCTTAGCACTCCTCATGGAAGATGTCCCCTTCAGATCCATCGCTGTGGCATCACTGGGCTCGTACTATGTGGTATCTTGGGTAGACCGAAGTCAAATGAACGTGGACTGGGAAGAGGCTTACTTTGCCGCGTTTGCTCGAGCTGCCGGACGGCCTCATCCTTTTCCTGTGTGACAGATTCCAGCACATGTGCCTGGTCTTCCTGGTCAGTCTTCTGCACCTTGCGCTTGAAGGTGATCTTCCGCTTTCGGCTGCAACAATAAAGGAGAAGAGCTATGATCAAGGCCAAACCTGCCATTGAACCGATTACGCCCCCAGCAATCGTACCAGGTGGCGTGGACGACTTTGGCGACGCTGTTACCGCTGCTTCTGAGGTAGTGGGCTTCGGGCACTCGCTCGATGCGCTGGTGGCTTTGGAAACGGAAGCCCTGCTCGAGCTGGAAGTTGCGTGAGCGAGATTCAAGGTCATGGTGGTGGCCGGTGCTATAGTTGTCAAGGTAGTATCGGAGATGGAGACTGGAAGGAATCCAAAAGCTACGGGTGAAGCATGGCCATCGTCGGCGTCCGAGGATGTCGAAGCAGAGCTTGAAAGGGGAGTGCTTTGGTCTGAGCTGGCTGGGGCATTGGTGGTCCTCGTTGCAGCTCCCTGGAGAATCGTTTGCGTCACGGTGACAGTGATTTGTTGTCCACACGAGTCAGCCATCTTGGTGTGATGTAGCAATTATGACCTTGGATGTTGAGGCCAGGTTGTCGTTGGTAATCAGGAATAATACTATCCGAAGTCCACTGTTCTGCTGCTTTGCTTTTGTTCAGATCATGTGTACAGTAAAAGGAAATATGCCTACTCATATCTTTTCAATCGCAACGCTAGGGTGCTGAAGCTGGTCTTTGTTGTTGAGAAAATAGAAACTATCATCAGAAGTGCACAAAGAATTCTAGAAATAGGACTCAGTAAATCATGGATACAAGAACGGTGCCTTTGTCTGTTCTTTAGCGGTCCTTTATCGTACGAATGCTGGGCACGAAGGAGACTTATTGGCGGCACTGGATATTATGGTTAGGAGCAAGATCATGTTGGGAGCGCAGTGAGACGTTGGTTCGTACCGTTGTCAAAGGTTGGCTTGATATTGCTTTTTGGCATCAGGAAAGCTTGGACGGCACTGGGCATCTCCTATTGCCACGACTTACTCCTGTACAAGATCATTCGGGATGAACCCTTACATGGGAAAACACTGTTGAGTAGGGTACCACCTCTGGGAAGCTGTGTAGCTCCCAGCCCCTTGCAGAAGGTTCCGTTGTGGAGACACAGACGCTGGCCGAACCTCTGAGGAGGATCATGGGTTTTCGCCCCTGAAATGCAGGATCTGGTCGAGAAGGGCAGGTGAGTATTGAGCTTTGCCTTGGGTTGCACATTTTTCATCTCATCCTGGGTTGCGTGGGATAGCGTGTACTAGAAAGGCAAATTTGGCGAGTATTTGATTGCGGTTCACGATTGTGAGATCGAGCGGGAACGAACCATCAAAGGTCCACCGACCCAACCACGCACTAAGAACACGAGGTACCTGATATCTCAGGGAAGCTCGGATGCAGCAGAGTTTGATCCAACGCTAAACTCTGCATGAGTACCTGGCTAAAACCTGCAGAACTATTGTATGCCGGATAGAATATTTATTGAGTTCGATGCAGGTGATGGATTCAGAGCATGGCTGAAGGCTGTGCCACAGCTACGAACAGATGAATATGAAGGACCTTCCAGACTGGCAGGCACACGGTTGAGCCCACGCCTGTAAGTCGCGCTCTGGGATTGTCCAGGCAGTGGGATGCAGGGATCAAAACGACAAACTCAAATCGAGATGCATCGAGGTCAAGCTGCTGTGGAGCGACGGCGAATTTGTTCGGATGCGGAGCCTGAGCCGATTTGACTTCAGATCAGCTCGGCAGCCAGATGGTTGCTTGCTTGCCACAGCGCCGTCGTACAGGCAAATGTTACTCGTATGTGCGGGTCAAATATCGTGGGTGCCAGCCCCAGGGGCAACATGTCGCACATGGAAGGCACACTGAGAACCGAGATTGAGCGGCTTCCTGTCGCCTGAGGCAGTAGTGGGTCGAGTTCCTGGGGGGCGATAATCAGTGTTAAATGAACTGGGAATCGACGAAGATCCAGATAGCTTCTGCGCAGAGTCTAGCTTTGCTCGCTTCAAGGTCGTCCTTTTGCTCAGCCATCGTTGAGATCAGCCAGCGTTATACTTATCGAGAAGGTGTGAGATGCCAAGCGTCGGAAATCTCACATCGCATTCTAGCTACGAGCTACCAGCGTGGGGATGTTTTGGCCCGCTCGCTTATCTCGATCCTACCATGGATGCAACTGCTCCGAGACGAGAGGAGCATCTGAAGCAGACGTGCTTGTCTAGCGGCTGCATGTACACAATTGCTGCCCTCGTGCTGTCTTTGTAAATGTTATCGATCTAAGCCGCCGTTATTACTCAAGTGTCTACCCCAGTACAACGCACTTCCTGTGTTGGCTTGGTGCCGAGAAGGGATACGGCGAGCTGATCAGAATCAAAACAACGCCTAGCTCCGGAACACCAATATGATTGGTGAGAGAAGGCTGGGAAAAGTAGCCGCTCACGACGCCATTGACTAAATTCGCATGTTTGGGGAAGGCCAAGATGCGCATGGTGCCTGTTCCTGAGCGGACCCACCACCCGACAATATCGACGTTCATGTGGTGTTTAGGGGACGGCACCTGGCACCCTTGTACTGGGTAGTGTTTAAACACCGCTCCAATAACTAATCGAGATACACTGTTCAATACAACATGGGCAAGTGTAGCGCCAGCATGCGTGTCTTGAGCGTCCAAGGCCCTCCCCGCCTGACACGACGGAGCACGGACTGTCCGGGCCTTTCACGTGGCCTGATTGAGCACAACCCCGAAGTACAGGACTCCAGCAAGGTCGCGAGATTGGTCCGAGTCCAAAGCCTGGAACAACCCTTACAGAATATGATGCGAAGCCCGTTCAATAAGTTCACGGAAAAGGAGGAAAATCAACGGCTGAGATCAGTTTGACAGGTGGGCGACAGGTATCCGACAGGACACGAGGTGATGACGCGTGGAGCTGGATGTGGAACTGAGGGGAGGTCTGAGTTTAGCGCAGGTGGCTTCGCAATTGACAGTCAACCGCTGCTCTAGACTGGACGCCACCCTTCACACCAACGCCTAGCTTAGCGAGGTGAAGGCCGATGCAGATGCGGGCGAGCCGATCTCTTTCCTGATCGATCCACCGTCGCACTACGGAGTCGTGACAGCGGTTTCTCACTTTTCCCTCTCATGCCGTTGTCCTGGCCGTCCCGGACTTTTCAACCACTGCAAATTGGCCTTTTCAGTCCACGGACATGGGTCTCGCTGTCAAACCCCCTGCGCAGTGCCGCCACCTTTGCAGTTCCGCTGCTGAAGGCGCCGGTGCATGTGTTTGACAGGCACAGCATCCTTGGCCACACCTATCACCGCTTCATAGCATGGCCTTTCCCTGCCAGAGCATTTGTGGTGCCTTCTCGTTCATTCGCCGGAGCGTCTTCTGGACCTGGCGAGGTGGGCAGCCACTTCTGCCTCTCCATGCAAGTCTACCTGGGCGTACGATTTGGCTGGTATGACCTGTAGAACATAAACCTGCCTGATGTCCGCGTGTCTCTGTAGAGTGCCGACCTGACTTCTACCACAGCTTTGAATCAAGTCAGTGGCAGGAGTGGCAAGAACACCATCCAGTACGGCCTTGACACGCTGATATTGCTTGATCAATCCAACGCACTTGCCTCCTCAACGCGGTCGAACCTCAGCCCACTTTCTAGTGCCTCAGACTCAGACTTGCCTTTGTTCACTTTTCGACGTTGCAGTCCCCACTCAAAGTTCAGGCATATCCGGGACGAGGGTGACTGGTCTTCTTTCACGTGTCGTCGACCCATCTAGTGTATATGGTGTACGATCTTCCAGAAAAGCTCCAGTCCTCCAGCACATCAAGGCCTGCCAGGTAGATTACCAAAACTCAGTCAGCATGGTTCTCTCACTTTCCTATCGCCGCCCGGCCCATGTCTCGTCCTCTCGCGAGTCACTTGAATCGGAGAAGGGTGGTCGAGTTGAGTCGATCAACTCCAATTCGAGTTGCCCTTACGGAATCCCAGACGCCTTGTCTTTCGACCGGATCATCAATGGCGGGACATGCCCAGTAAGTAAACATATTGCGCTCCCAAAATCGAAAAGTGACCGTGAACTAAGCCATTCCATAGCCCGTCACCACACGAGAATTCATGGATTTTCTCCGTTACATCGAATATGACGCGGAGAACCTCCAGTTCTATCTGTGGTACAGAGACTACTGCAAGCGCTTCGATGGACTTGCAGAGAGCCAGAAGAAGCTGGCCCCTGAATGGACCGCTGAACAAGCACTCGCAGAGAAGAACATGGCCGAGAAAGAAAAACTCCCCAAGAAAATTGCAAGCGACGCCGCGGCTATGTTGAAAGGAACCGATTTCGATCCAAGCACCAGAGCAGGCATCCCGGAGCCTGCTCCTAACCCGTTCAATACTCCCCCGCGAACCCCTTCAGCTTCAGCCACAGACCACGACAGCATGGTTCCGTCGACCCTCGGCTACAGTGACGACGCAACCACCCTTCGGGCTGGAACCATCGACCACAGCAAGAGAGCTGCGGCAGCCTTCGAAGAAGCTGGAGCTCTTCAGCCTTGTATGCCATCCACTTCAATCTCAGAGTCCGTAGGCTAACAATGCTTTTAGTCACTGTTCAACCATTCCGTGAAGAGATCACTCGAATCATCGCTATTTACATTGCTGATGGCGGCTCTCGCTTGCTCAACCTGTCGGCCAAGGAAAAGGCTGTTCTGCTCAAAGCACTCTCGGTCACGACTCACCCTTCAGCATTCCGCGATGTCATTGCCACGGTGGAATGGACACTTCGACATCAAGCGCACCCCAACTTCATTCGATGGACAATCTGCAATGGCAATATACCGAGGCAGGCATTCGCTCGGTTCTTGGGCGTCGCTGGTATCGTTGGCGGAATCGTGTACGCGATCGTCATCACTCTCAGTTCGGCCAACCGTGGATGGAGAGCGCTGGCTTTCCTTGGGCTCTTCATTGGTGTTGCGACTCTTTTTGCTGCTTGGAAGGGCATGTGTGTGGTAAGCCGCCGCCAACCTCCTTTTTCTTTCGACAATGTTGGCTGACGACACAGGTCCTGCACGGAATGCATCATAGACACCTTCGACCATGGGAGCTCTTTGGCGACGAAGATCAAAGTTCCTCCGATTACACGTCGAAGAAAGACTCATTTGACAGCCTGGGCTCGTCCAACAGCTACGAGGACGAGCCTTGGGTGGCCAAGTACGAGAAGCGCAACATCATCCGCAAGATCTTCGACCGAGAAGTCTGGATTCAGGAGCCTGCACTACGCCAGATCCAAGACACCATTTTTGTCCAAGCTCTTCTTACTGCGTTTGTTGCCGGAGCCATCACGACTGCAATCTTCTTGGCTGTAAGTGGAATTGCTTCCTTGGGTTTGGTCCGCTAGTTCTAATCGTTCATGCCCAGGTACCACGCGGAAACTTTTTTTGATCGACTTTCTTGGTCGCGGCTTGACGATGTCCCATCATTTCTTGTTTTATTCGAGGTTCAATTAGCATCAGAGATACCCATATGTGAAGGTATAATATTGGAGAACAGAGGCGATTTCATTGAGATGCGATTTGTAGCAGGGAAAGGAGCTCGCAGCAGATGACGGCACCTGACACTGTACGGCATTGTGTATCAGTACTAGGCAGTACGGTATTTCGGCTAGGTGGCGGAGTTGTTACGCTGTTATGGATAATCAAAGTTGACTGTGCCCGAGAGTCTCAGCATGGAAATGACCTGACAGAAAATGATATGGTAATAGCACCGTTAGCATTAGTTGTACCCAGTACTTCTCATCGCAACACTGCGAGCTTCACAGCCGAGCGAAAACTCTCCCATTGCCGCTTTTGACCAATGACGCACGTGGGCGGCAAGAGGCGCGTTTAGACGCGTCACGCGTCACCTTCCTTCTCGAACCGGAGCCTGACTTCTGCCCTCATTATCCATCATCCGTCCAGGACGCACCTTCCTGGCGGCTGCCGAGTATCCTCAGTCCGCCGCAGATTGGCGGCCATGGCGCCCGGGGGAAGTCGTCGCTCGAGAGCGTCCGACTCCGACGACGAGGAGTCTCGGCCCAACACGCCTGCCTCAACTGCACCAAACGACAAAAAACGTATTCGAAGGAGTGCCAAACTTGATGATGAGAGTGACAACACAGACGACTCCTCTGCCTCCTCCTCGGCGGGGAGGATGCCTCGATCAGCAAACACTACGCTGCCGGTTCGCAATCCTCAGGTAACCGCCGGCCCCAGCAATCACAACGTTGAGATACGATCAGCCCATCAGCCTGGTGCTATTGTTCGTGTGAAACTGACCAATTTCGTCACGTACACCTCTGCAGAGTTCTTCCCTGGGCCGAGTCTGAACATGGTAATTGGTCCAAACGGCACTGGAAAGAGTACGCTTGTCTGCGCTATATGCCTTGGGCTAGGATGGCCACCTAAGGTACGTTGGCTGCTCCCGTCTGCCTGATCATGTGGCTCATGCTTGACAGCACCTTGGACGTGCAAAGGAACCTGCCGAATTCGTGAAGCACGGCTGTCGCGAAGCCTCCATGGAGATTGAACTGCAGCGGAAACCCTCGATGCGAAAGAACCCTATCATCACGAGAGTGATTAAAAGAGAGGGAAATCAGTCTACATACCTCATCAATGGGAAACAGTCATCGGGCAGAGAAGTCCAGGTCTTGGCGAAGAGCTTCAATATCCAGATCGACAACCTCTGTCAATTCTTGCCCCAAGACAAGGTTGTGGAGTTCGCGATGATGACTCCTGTGGATCTTCTCGCCAGCACCCAACAGGCTGTGGCCGGACCCGAGATGACCAATCTACACGAGGAATTGAAACGGTTACGCAGAGAGCAAAGCAAGGTCATGAAGAACGACAAAGACGCCCGTGCGCAACTCGCGCATCTGGAGAGTAGACAGGAGGCACAACGGCCCGAGGTGGAGCGATTGAGGGAGAGAGCCAAAGTGAAGTTGAGACTGGACAGATTGAAACAGTCTCGTGCGATCCTTCGGTATCAAGCCGCCAAGACAATATCTCAGGAAGCCAAAGAGCGCGCCCAGGCGATCAGTCAAGAACTAAAGCATCTGAAGGCCGCGTCTGCGCCAGCGCTGGCGAAAGTTCGCTCAAAGGAGGAGTACGAGACGGAGGCGCGGGTGTTCAAAACCAGGTGCGAGAAAGCGTTGACGGATAGTCTGAAGACATGCGACAAAAGGACGAAAGAAATCATGAAACTTGATGATGATATGAAAGAAAAGTCGACGCAGATCGAAGCAGAGAAGACGGGGGTCAGCAAGAACAAGAACACCATTGCTCAAGAACAGAACAAAATGCGAGATCTCAGAAGAAAGAAGGCCGAAGCTCCCGAGAGCTTCGACGTCACCGGCCTCACGAACGAGATGCAGGCGCTGAGAGGTCGCGTAGCTGCGGTCCAGGAGAAAATCAACGATCTGGAGCCACGGAAGACCGATCTGCGCGATCGGGGGCTCAAACGAAAGGAAGATGCCAGAGGTCTTGCCGCTAGACTGGAAACTTTTGGGAGCCACGCGAACCAACAAGAAGAAAAGCTGAAAGAGTTGTCCGAAGCTACGTGGAAAGCTTGGGACTGGATTCAGAAGAATCAGGAGCAATTCACCGAACACGTCTACGGCCCGCCGATCGTGGAATGCTCACTCAAGGATCCGCGCATGGCTGACGCTATTGAATCGATCCTGCAGCAGACTGACTTCAAGTTCATCACTGCCCAAAATACCGCCGACTTCCAACTCCTCCAGAAGAAACTGGTCGGATCAACAGCTGATGGAGGGCTGGGCCTCCACGATGTCAGTCTCCGTGAACGCAGCAATTGCAGTCTGGATCAGTTCCGTCCACCTGTGTCACCCGAACAAATGCAAGACCTTGGGTTGAGCGGCTGGGCCCTTGATTACCTGCAAGGCCCGGTCCCAGTCCTTGCCCAACTCTGCGTTGAAAAAAGCTTGCATCGCTGCGGCATAAGCTCCAAAGAGCCTACTCAACAGCAACATGACGAGATTGGAAAGACGGATATCCAGAGTTATGTCGCCGGGCAAAAGGTCTACCACTTCCTGAGACGTCGGGAATATGGAGCTGCAGGCTACTCTGCCCGAGTCCAAGACGTCCGCCGTGCGAGATACTGGACGGACCAGCCTGTTGACATGGGCCGAAAGGCTGCACTCCAACGAGATCTCAATGAAGCTAGAGGCGAGGCCGCGGCGATTCACGCGGAATTTGTAGGTGTTACGGATCAGATCAAGCAATTGGATGCCGAAAAGCGGCAGATCACAGGCGAGATTAATGCCAAGAAAGAGGAGAAGGAGGCGATCCAGAGCGCACGCGTGCAGTACGACAGACTGGATGTAGAGATTCAGACCAAAGAAGAGTCCATCAAGATGCTGCGGGAGTCCATGCGTGGAGTGGGCGCCCGCATCACTGGGATACAGAAGGAACTCGACGACTTGCTCGTTGCCAAAACCGAGGCTGTCCTGGCGCTCGCGGCGGCAACGAGAGAGGTCAAGTCCAAAACCGCCAGTCTTTTCGAAGCGGATGTCATTTTGGTCGAGGCGGTGTCCGATCACCAGGTTGCAGCAGCTCAGAACAATGAGGTTGTTCAGGCCATCCAGCGAAAGGAAGCGGAGAAGAATGCTGCGACTGAGATGTATCGACAACAACATGATCTGGCCTTGAAGTCCAAAAACGAGGCCATGATAGTGGCCAACGAGGCGAAGAGGCTGGCCAGAGAAGGCGATGACAGCTTCAACGACCTGTTAGGGCACGTATGTCAGTCACTGAATACGCCCGAGAATCTGGAGGCTGAGATCGATGCCGAAAAGGCCAAACTGGAGTTGACAGAGGGGGGCAATGCGCAGACGATCGCAGAATTCGAGCGGCGGGCTCAAGACATTGAGACTCTACGAGCCCAGGTCCAGGATGCCAACGAACGTCAGGCGGAATTCAGACGTCATATCAAGGAGGTGCGAGAGAAGTGGGAGCCTCGCCTCGACGAGATCACTGCTCAAATCAACGACGCATTCTCGGATTCGTTTGCAAGGATTGGTTGTGCGGGTCAGGTTGCTGTGTACAAGGCGTCATCCGATGACCCTGACGAGTGCACAGAGGAAAACGGCGGTGCAGAAAACGGCGGTGCAGAAAACGGGCTCGATTTCGAGAAGTGGTCCATCGAAATCAGCGTCAAATTCCGCGAATCGGAGCCGCTCAGTCTGTTGGACAGCCATCGACAGTCCGGTGGTGAGAGAGCTGTCAGCACAATCTTCTACCTCATGGCCCTGCAGAGCCTCAGTCGCGCGCCATTCCGCGTGGTCGACGAGATCAATCAGGGTATGGACCCGCGGAATGAGCGGATGGTTCATGGCAGGATGGTTGACATCGCCGCGGACGACGGAGGCAGCCAGTACTTCCTGATCACTCCAAAATTGCTCAGCGGCCTGAAGTACAGACGCGGCATGACTGTGCTTTGCATTGTCAGCGGCGAAAACGTGCCGGCCGCCAGGGAGCGCGATGACGAGGGTGAATGGCATGAAGGCCCCAAGGTCGACTTCAAACTGTTTGTGACCAGGGCGAGGAACCTGGGCATTGGTGCAGCGGTCGGTGGACGGCGGATCGATTCTGGCATGGGCTTCGGCCAGAGCCTTGGGAGTGCCAGCCAGTCTCCTGCAGTTGGAGCGTGAGCCTGAGCGTGGGCCTGAGCCTGAGCCTGAGACCTGGGAAAGGGTGACTAGGTACAGTGCCGAGTACTCCGTACGATAAGGCTGGGGATCAAGCTGCAGCAGATCGATGCTGACCGACGGCGCCACTCACCGTAGCCGAGGCATTGAAAACCGATGCAGTAGAACTCTCCGCATCTAAGCTGCCCATCTTCGGCTCCCCACACATATTTGCAAGGCGTCGTGCGGCATCATGGCCGATATATCCGGCTATGGTCCTTTTCCAAGCTTCATGTTCTGCTTCAATTCCTTGCCAGGCTCGTGGGTTGTATATAGGGCGTGGTGTTGGCGTGGTCAAACCCTCACAATTCCAGCATGGTCCTGTTCAAGTCGCCTCATCCGCGGTTAGACAGTAAGCAAACCGGCCCTCCAACTCTGTGGACAAAAGGACTCAGGCTCTTCTTGTCCGCAAGGCAATAATGTCCACCGCGTGTCTGGAACGCTAATCATGCGCGGTACTATAGTTCCCGAGCAGATCTCGACATGGGAATGGCTGTTCGAGCCTGGCGAATTCTCCCCTCTGTACAAGACTCCCCGTGAACCACTGGCCGGATATGTCAACGCCGTGACGAAGCAGCGCCTCGACTGGGCGGCCGTCAAGACCAAGGCCACCCAGTTGAGCACCGCTCTAGTCAAGGGATACGGGCTCCAGCCGGGCGAGACGGTTTCGTTATTCAGCACCAACACGATATGGTACCCGGTCGCGATGTGGGCCGTCATTCGAGCCGGTATGGAAATGTCCCCCCCCTCTGAACTGTGGAATCTTTGATTCTTGAACTCTTTCTGTGCCACGCACATCACCCCTCTGAACTGTGGACCCTCGTCTCTGAATTTTGTATATGCCACGCAAAACAAGAATACGACTAACCGGCCTGGCGCGCAGGAGGACGAGTCAATGGCGCGTCCCCGGCATATAATGTCGAGGAAATGACCTATGCGCTCCGAGTCGCCAAGAGCAAGATCCTCATCACGCTGCCGTCTTCCTTGGAGGTGGCGCTGGCGGCGGCCCAAAACGCCGGAATCCCTCGTGAACGTGTCTTTCTACTGGAAGGCCAGAGCGAGGGACATCTGAGCATACAGGAATTGATGGAGCGAGCGGCCAACGATACGCCCGACCCGCCGTACCGGATCCCGAGGGGGAAGACGAACAAGGAGATTTGCGGCTACTTGAACTTTAGTAGTGGGACGACAGGGCTGCCCAAGGCGGTAAGTGATTGTGAAAAAGCCTGCCTGCCATGGCCGACACGCACACGGACCCGGACAGGGACATTTGTGATAACGAGAAACATTTACTCCCAGGTCATGCTTTCGCACCACAATGTCATCGCGCAGTGTCATCAGCTCAGACAACTCCAAGCGCCGGGCGGGTACAAGATCCTGGCGGTGATGCCTCTGTTTCACAGTACGTGCTTTGGTGCCACACGGCCTTTCGTTATCAAAGGCGATGACCGAGACTGACCTTTGCGTGCGTGCTCTTTTCTACTACCAGTCACGGGCCTCGTCCGCTTCTGCACGTACCCGATCTTCATGAACGGCGACTCGGTCATGCTCCCGTCGTTCACCATGCCGTCGATGCTGCAGGCGATCGTGGAGTTTCGGATCAAAGAACTGATCCTCGTGCCGCCCATCATCATCCGGCTCGTGCGCGACAAGATCGTCGACGAGTACGACCTGCGGCACGTGGAGCGGTGGTCGTCCGGCTCGGCGCCCATCTCGCCCGAGATCATCGGGCTGCTGCAGAAGAAGTTCCCGTGGACCGGGTTCCGCCAGGGGTACGGCGCGACCGAGAGCACGGCGTGCATCTCGGCCCACCCGCCCAGCCACTACGACTACAAGTACGCGACCACGGGCGGCATGCTCGTGGCGAACACGGAAGCTAAAGTGCTGGACCTGACCACGGGCCGCGAGCTGGACGTCGGCCAAACGGGGGAGATCCTCGCGCGAGGGCCCCAGATCGCCATGGCCTATCTCGACAACCCGGCGGCGACGGCCGAGACGTTCGACCAGGAAGGCTTTTTTCATACGGGCGACGTGGGTCATTTCGACGCCGAGGGCCTCGTCCACATCGAAGACCGCATCAAGGAGATGATCAAGGTCAAGGGCCTGCAGGTGCCGCCCGCGGAGCTGGAGGATCTGCTCCTCGGTCACCCGGACGTCGAGGACTGTGCCGTGCTGGGCATCCGCGACGACTATGCCGGCGAGAGACCCAAGGCCTACGTCGTCCTCAAGCAGGGCGTGCGCGAGAGCGAGGAAGTCGGCCGGCGCTTGCTGCAGTTCGTCCGCGACCGGAAGGTGCGCTATAAGTGGATCGTCGAGGTCGAGTTCACGGATCAGGTGCCCAAGAGTCCGACGGGGAAGTTGCTGCGCCGGATCCTCAAGGTCAAGGACAAGGAGGGCACGGGTAGAGGGTTGCGGGTCAGGGATGAGGCTGAGAGGGCCAGGTTGTGAGGCTGCCTACAGTACGGAGTAGTAGAGAGTGGTACGATCCACATAGGACTGTCAAGGCACGTACGGAGTACAGAGAGAGTTAGAGGATCGAAGTAGACAGCACTTAACTACAGTAGATATGAGACGGCGAATAACAAGGCACGAGGTGTCAATGGTGAGGAGCTCCGACCTCGTATCCCTCTTTGCTTCCCGCACGGCTTGCGGTCCTTATTGCTTTAGGCTTGACATCAAGGACGGAGTGCGGAGTAGATGGACGCAGTGCTGTACGTACTGTAGGAGGCCATGGAGAGGCGTGAACTGCTCCATGTGTATTCTTGCGAGGAGGGCCGAAACGAATCCCTACGGGGCGGTACCTCGCTCCGCCCATACGCCGTCTTCCGTACTGCTTCCCCCCTTTATCATTACCCGCACGGGTGGCTTGGGCTACGGCAGGAGTAGGAACTTTGCTGAACACCTTTCCTTCGCACTTCGTACTTTTGGACCCTGTGCGACAAGAGAAACAGGAGTGTTTCCGGGGGCCGGTGGCGGCTGGTCACTAGTCGAGCCCCCTTGCGAAAACGCCCAGCTTCAATATGAGGTGACAAGAAACAGTACCCCAGTATGTACTTGGCGTGTTCGGGGAACTCGTACCCAGTACAACATGTCAGGTAGGTAGGTATGCGTAGAACCTTTTCGTGCCGCTAGAGTCTACAAATGATGCGAGCAATCTTGTTTGTTCGCGGATGTCTGCGAGAGACTCCGTTCCCCGTACACCATACGCGATACTCTGGACCACTAGGATATCATCGCGGCGCAGGCAGAGGCCGGTATGGGGACGAGCGAGCTCTCGAAATGGTCGTGGTCGTGACAGGCACATTCATTCGTATACAGAGTTCGACATCTTTACAGACGATAGCTGGGTGTCTAGTACTCTGTGTACTGTGTATATCGCCGCTGCTTTCCGTGAGGCGTGTCAACCTGGCAATTCAAGATCCTGATCCTGATACCAAAACCGATACCGATACTTTACAGACCAACTCGAGATTCCTAGCACAAGGTATCCTCCCACGGGTACGGTGTATACCGCCTGTGTCGTATGTACCCGGTATTCCCCTTTTCCCGGCCATCCTGGCTCTATAATCTACCCAAAAACACTTTTGTCGTCGGTACCTAGTCCGTTGAATACGGCTGTACATGGACATGTACGTCTCTCTCTCTCTCTCTCTGTGTGTGTGTGCGTGTGTATGTTCAAAGGCCGTGGAGGAGCGAGTCAATCGTCAGGAAGTAGAGGTGAAGTGAAGTGAAGTGAGGTGAAGCGGCCGTAGAGCATACACACACAATATCATAAATCATACGCCGTGCACCTCATACGTCACGTCCTTCCTGATAATCATCCTCTGGCTATCGTTGCTGCCCACGCTGGTGGCATCGGCCTTTGGGTTCTCATCGGCCAGCGCCGAGATGTTCCTCTTCCCGACCTTGCTGCTACTACCGCCGTCGATGCCCGTCGTCGGCGCAGTCCACACGCCGTAGCTGTAGAGGTCGGATCGTCCGTCCAGGCCCGACGCGGGAGCCTGTCGGGTCGTGAAGTCCGTGTACGTGTCGCCTCTGTTCGCGCTCGTGGTCGCCGACCGGTTCGCGGATCGCAACTTGGACAGCTTGAATGTGTTTTTGGTGGCGCCGTACCCGTTGCCCCCACCCCCGCCACCACCACCGTACCCATACCCGTTTTGACTGTCCGCGGCGCCCATGCCGCCAAACTGCGTGTTGAGGTTGGTCACGAACGGTCGGAGACTCGGGATCGTGGCCGAGATGAGGGAGTAGCAGAGCTCCGTCTGCGTCCAGACGACGAAGATGGTCTCGGCGAGCGTGGGGTTCGAGACGCGCTCGGGTTTGTCAAAGTTCGCGAGCCGGAAGGCGATGGCGATGACGTTGCTGGTTGGATCACCTTGTGTTAGCAGGACGGCTCTCCACTTCGCTTTACAGCACAGCCGCTGTGTGGCGGCTGCTGGACTCACCCCAGACGGAACGCAAATGCGCTCACGACAATGGCTTTCTTTGAAAAGGTGGTGAACAGCCCCCAGACGAGGTAGATGGCCATGAGGACGATGGCCAGCTCGGAAATGATGTCGAAGGCGCCGATGATTTTCCACCGCAGGAACTATCACGCGCAAGGAAAGATTAGCTCTCGGCGGCGTCGAGGAGACGGAGCACACTTACGGCTCCGGGGCATTGTTCGTCGACAATGAGCCATGGATGGTGGAGATCGCACTGGAGCGCAACGGCGAATGTCGATCCCACGGTCCATGCCGCTATAAAGGCCGTCAAGCCGTGGAAGACCAGCTTTTGTGTTCTGACCACCGTCAACCGGTTGAGGAAGAAGACGACAGACATCTTGGACAGGCCGAGAGCCAGTGTGAAGAAGATATTGCCGGCATAATATGACTGGGAAAATGAAGATCAATATCACGGTTAGCGCGAGGATGGACTGGCTGGCCATACCTTTTGGACTTTCTCCAGCATCGCAGGGGGGATGAGTTCGACAGATCTCCCGAGTCCGTCGGAACAGGCTCCTAGCATTATCGACGACTGGATGACAGCCAGAATCTGGAGAATCGGGTCAGCATGCGTGGAGAAGCCAGTTGCATGACATATGGCTGTCGGGACGAGGTCAAGAACCTACTGTTGCAATACCGACGGACACATCATCCAGACCACATCCCGGCGTGATCGTACACCGGATGAATACTCTGATGGCCGCGAAAAGCAAGAGCCAGCACAAGCACAGGGCCGTGGCAATTATAATCCATGCGGTATGGTCTGTGTCGGTGACTTCGTAGAACGGAGGTGAATATCCCGGAGGAAGCACGAGACCGGAACCTGTCGTGGCTGACATGTCTGAGGCTCCGCCAGCAGCCCGACGAAGGCCTGAAATCACTGGAGCGTTATGTCCGTGATGGTGATGATGTTGATGACGAGATAGAGAGGAGGTGTAATGGCACAAGGTTGGGTGACTCGATGTCTCCAGAAAGTGGGTAGTGTATGCTATATGTCAGAATGCCCCGTCCAGTCCACCGACTCCTGCATACGAATGGAGAGATGCAAGGTACGGAGAGGCGTCTGGAAACATCCCACGACTGCTGCAGAAGATCCAGGCACGAGTCCTGAACTGCTAGGAGGACTTGATATCCGTGCTCGGCTCCCAGACGAGATCAACCCCCAGCCATGTGCCGTCGTCCCTCACAGAAGCAGATACAAACCACAAACTGGACTAGTTGGTGCTAGGATCGTGAATCTCACGCAAGGATTGTCGCAGGCGGCGGGCAGATACCAGAACAGCAGGGCAGGGGAGGGCACAGTACACCACTGTCGACCCGTGCGTGGCAGCAGGACGGGGACAGCAGCTCAGCTCCCCTTTCTCGATGAACTCCGGCTGATCGATCGTCGGACATTTCACGTACATAGTAGTTAGCTTCATTTCATTTTCATTCATTTGTGTGCCGCTTAGCGTGACCATCGTGTCCCCTGACCCTCGTGGGAGATAGGCAGAGAGCCAGTCACGACGCTCGTCGCCCGTGTGGGCGCATGGGGGAGTCGAAGCCTAAGCGAGCGAAGGTGCGAGGTGCGAGGTGCGAGGTGCTGGGACCACGGAACAAGCCCGATAGCGGCCCATGAACGCGAACAACAAGCGTCGCGAAGCCACGCAAGCCTTGCAAAAAGCATGCCTAGCGTTTCTTGTCGGCGTGCTTAGGCTGCAGAAGGACCAAAGTCTGCGGCGCCGCCGGCGGCCCTTCAAACACGCCCAAGAGTTTCTGATTTGGCCTGCGTAGGGGATCAGCAGAAGCTTATATCGTGGTGCCCACTTGGTGTTGCGGGGAAGCCTGGGCAGCCCCGCTGGCAATCAAGCAGCAATTCGCGCGTCCGGCCTGTTGCCGTGGACGAACAGCGCAGCTTGTCCCCCTGCACAGTCAAATCTTCCAGGCTACCAGCAGCACACCACCATCGCCACCCAATGCCCATCCAGGCCCGAGAATCGTGCACAGCAGATGGAAACGCGGTGGAGCTGCAGGGCCACCAGGACCCGAAGCCTCCCGTGGGCCTCCTTCCGTCGCTCGGTCTGCAGGGGGATCGGAGCCCCAACACCCACTACATCCACCACACCCAATAATGCTCGTCGTGCGTTTGCATCGCGCGTGCATGGCTTCCCACGACAAAATCTCGCCCGACGGTTCTGGGTGTCGGTTCGAGGGGCTCGTCCCCGAATCCTGAGAACCGCTACCGAAACTTACTCCGTACCGTTAGGTAAGTCCCTGCGCTGTTCACCAGGACCACAGTGCTCGTCGTTAGCCGGGTCGCCTGCTGTCTCCCATGTGGCACGCCATGTGCGTGGTTTCTGATAAGCTGATCCGACCCCGGTAGGACCTCTCTTGGGATTGGCGCCTCCTCTCCAACCTTCTTTCTGTCTTCCTTTCGAGAGTTCACGATCCTTCCATCTTCCTCCTTGTATCCTGTACTGGCACAATGGCTATTGTCGACGCGACGAAGGAGGACGCCACGGTTATCTCGTCGGCCGAGCAGCCCAAGAACGATCTCTACCTCCACGATGGGGAGAAGGATCTCGACGAGGACTTTGGCGTGCCGGAACGGTACAGAGGTACCGCAGACGACAAGAGAGACATGAGCATGTTGGGCAAGAAACAGGTCCTTCGAGTATGTGCGCCACTTCGCTCTGGGGCGTCAACGACGAGGCGGATACTGACGCTGCGCAGAGAAACTTTCGCTTCGTCACCATGGTCGGCTTCGCCAGCACGGTGATGGCGAGTTGGGAGATCCTTCTGCCGTAAGACACCCTCGGTGGCATTGGCCTTTCCATCCCCTACGCACACACAGACACTGAACCTATCTCCTAGGCTGTTCTCCTTCGTTTTGACCGATGGCGGCACCGCTGATCTCTTCTGGGGATTTATCGTGGTGGGACTGGGGCAAACGCTCGTCTACGCCAGTATCGCAGAGGTAGCATCCATGTGAGTGGCAGAAGGTCAATTGCAGCTACGCACGCGCCCTGACTTGTTGTGATTCAGGTCTCCCACCGCCGGCGGACAGTATCACTGGGTGTCAGAGCTCGCCCCTCCGAGAATACAGAAGATGCTCAGCTATCTCGTCGGTCCGTATTGGCCTTACCGTGAACATTCCAGCTCCCTTTCTGACAATGAGTGTAGGTTGGTTGGCAGCCATTGGGTGGCAAGTCTACCTGGCTGGTGTCGCCTTCATGGTCGGCAGTGTCATTCAGGGCCTGATTGCGCTGAACGTCGAAGGCTACGTGTGGCATGCGTACCACGGAACCCTCCTTTCAATTGCGGCCATCGTCTTCTCTATCGCTTTCAACACTTTCTTGGCCCCGCATCTACCTTTGATCGAGGGTACCGTTCTGATTTTGCACTTGGCTGGGCTCTTCGCCATCATTATCCCCCTCTGGGTGATGGCCCCGCGGGCTAACGCACATGACGCCCTGCTCGTCTTCACGAACTTTGGTGGCTGGTCCAGCACAGGCCTGTCCGCCATGATCGGCTTGACGACTCCGCTGAGTGTGCTCATTGGATACGATTGCTCGGTCCATATGTGTAAGTGCCACATTTCTGTGCGGTCCGTCATGTTTGCAAGTGTGGGTTGCTAACGAAGAATGGTTCTGCAGCTGAGGAGATCCGCGATGCCTCGATTACTCTGCCCAAGGCCATCATGTGGTCGGTCGTCATCAACGCGGTGCTGGGTTTCCTTATGGCCATCACTTTGATCTTCACCTTGGGAGACATCGACAGTCTGTTCGCATCGGTGACCCGCCAGCCGTTCATCCAGCTGTTCTACAATGCCACCCAAAGCTACGGCGGGACCAATGCCATGACTGCCATCGTCATCATCCTTCTGGCGGCTTGCTGTACCAGCGAGGTGGCCACGGCATCTCGACAGCTGTGGTCTTTTGCCCGCGACCAGGGCCTGCCGGGTTCTCGCTGGCTCTCACAGGTAAGATTGTCTCCTCCCACTTTCTCCGGCCTGGGCCGAGCTAACGGTTTTTCAGGTCACTCCCGGCTGGAACATCCCTCTTCACGCCGTCTTCGTCTCCCTGATTGTGAGCTCCCTGCTTGCGTGCATTAACCTGGGCTCATCCGTCGCCTTGAATGCCATCAACTCGCTCGGCGGTGTCTCGATCCTCACATCCTACTTCATCACCATCAGCTGCCTGATCTACCGACGTCTTGCCGGCCCCCCACTCCCTCATCGACGATGGTCCTTGGGCAAATACGGCCTGTGGATCAACATCGCTGCTCTGCTCTACTTGATGCCGCTTTGGTTCTTCGCCTTCTGGCCCCTCTCCACACCAGTCACGCCGGAGAACATGAACTGGTCGTCGACCATGTTTGGCGGCGTCATGATCATCGCCGTGTTATACTACTACTTCAAGGCTCGACACGTCTATGTGGGACCTGTGGTCTTTGTCAAACGCGACCTCTAGAAATTGTCCACGACTTGATCCTTTGGGCGTTATTTTGGCACCCCGTCCAGGCGAAAATAGGTGGGACACTTGTGCACCAAACGCTTCTCGGCCCGGGTACCGGCCTATGGCATAAAAGTATGAAATCTGGCGACTCGGCGGTCCCAACCAAACAGGGTACCGAGTAAATACAACTGTGAATACATAAGACTGTAGGCTTTCTGCCACCGAAAACTCCGATTACGTATTCCAGAGATTTGGGACTTCCCCCGCCTATTGCTGCGATCGACTGTTGTGCCACGTGTCATGAAGCAAGTAGCGGTGAGTCGACGACCAGACCCAGTACTGCAGATCGAGCGCCAGGCATCCGGAAGCGGTCTCTGCCAGATTATGATGGGCCCGGATTATTCGACAAAAAAGATCCCTTTGGGTGCCCTTGGACGATGGCAGAATGGAGGCCGACTCCACAGTCCGGTACGAGCAGTCTCTCGTGTACGAGTACGGAGTAGTCAGTGCGTGGTCCGTTTCATCGTGGCGAGCAAGGTAAATTCCCGGATGCATGTTAGGCTTCGCACTATGCTTTGCACCATCTGCAACTACTGTGTAGTGCAAGGTACTCCGTACAGTACTGTGTATGGGATGGGTCCGCCGTCGCATGGCTCGTGGGACGTTGGGACATGGGTTTTCCCCTTGCGCAAGCTCGCCTGTCGTCGCCTCGGAGTAAAGCGATGCTAATATTGCCTCTGGAGTTTTCCTCGTTGGGCCTGCCGCACGTGCTTCTCGACCGTTCCGATAATTAAAGAAGACGCAAGCCTCTAAGCGAGAGTCCTCTTGCGTGTTTGTTTGCCGATCATCAACCCACGAGGGTCCCCAAGGAGTCACGGAGCACGAACCCTGGCAGGTCTTACGGTCTGGTAAGAACGCCGACGTCGACGCCGCCGAACGACGACAACGACGAACAACAACAACAACAACAACAACAACAACAACAACAACAACAACAACAACAACAACAACAACAACAACAACAACAACAACAACAACAACAACAA